CTTCAAGCCAAGAAAGATAGTTTAACAGTTTTATAAAGATATTAAAGTAACCCATTAAATATGTTTGAATTAGTTTGCTTGCTAAAATTTTCTTGTGAAGAGCTACCATTACAGCTTTCTTTTTTTGGTGCTGGAGTACAAATCTTAATGTTGAATTATAATCTTAAATTGAAAATAGCAAAAAAAGATGGAAAAGCACAATACTATGATCTGCCTACCATGAACTGATGAATTTGACTTTACAGAATTCTTGATTTTTTTCCCCTAGGGAACAAATATTTGATGTTAGATCCTTTTTACTTTTTCCCTTCTGTTCCCAAATCCTCTGTACAGGAAATGACTTGTTAGGTTGATGCTGTTTTTAGGGAGCGGAGGGGAGAACTTAACAACATAGTGGAGAGCTTCAAGCTTGAGAGCATTTTTCAAAACTGATAAGGACCTCTCTTTACAGGAAAAGTTTATATTTTAACAGTCCTTGTTCCCTTTTAAGACTCAGAATCGTGTGTTCTTCAAGGTTCATTTCATAATGTTTGTGGTGTAACATGGTTTTATCAAATTCAATAACTAACAAATGCTTACTGTGAGGCAGATGAAGTAGTAAAAGTAATTCTCCTGGTCCGGCGAGGTACAGGTACTTCCTGCTGTGACCCATTTGAGTAGGCTCAGCGATTAGGTCAACGGGAGGCAACACAGGGAGGATTCAACCCAGGCTTGTCTTCGGAAAGTTCATACCAGTTATTTGTGTGTCTAAGAAGAATGAACTATAATGCCAGTTACAAATTTGTGTTCCCATTTTGGCTCTCTTCATCTCTAGCACCTAGAATTTTTGCATTGATAAAGGTGTTGGAAGGGCCTCACGTTAGGGGTATTTCTCGTGTTAGGGGTATTTAAGCATTTTGGAGAATTTCTGAATGGCTTACATTAAACACATGAACTCTAGAAAAAGGAAATTATATACTTTGCAGATGATAACTTGATAGTTGGACTGAAAATTAGATCCTGTGACATTTAAGCATTCATGAATGCTGTTGCTATGAAATATGATCCTGAACCCTAAAGGAATCAAGTGAACAAACTGTTTTGTTTACAGGGGAGGAGGTGGTAAGGGAAAGGTTTGAAATATTCAGGTGAGTAGGATTCCTACAGCTGCATAGTGCCATTTGTAAGGTTCTGGTAAGTTCCTGCAGCTGAAGGACTTCTGCATTAGTCTCTTGGGATTTCAAAAAGAACAATGGTTGGTTGCCTGGTGGAAGGAAAGTGGGTGGGCAGTTTCATTTTGGGGGGTGGGTAGAGGGACTGTACCATTAGATACTTGAATGTGAATGTTACCTTTTTCTTGAAATTTGTAAGTCTATTTGATTAAGAAGTTAAAGCAGTGAGTCAACTGATTATTTGCCATCTCCAGTGGCCTCTATAGATGATAGGTGGTTTCAAAAACACATTCATCCTGCATGGCCACTTAGTCTGAATTTTAAAAGCCAAAATAATAAACTCACTTAAAAACTGGCTTTTGGTGTTTTAGGTAGAGAAGGTAGAATTGTCCATGAGTAGACAGTAGTATCCTATGCAGCTTCTGAACAGTTTGCATTCTAAAGAATTCATACAAATATTCAGGTGAACAATGAAATCTGAAAGGTGTGACTAAGATGAGTATAACAGAAGTTGGTGTTACAACAATAAATAATGTGAATGTTATGGTGATGGAGTTATGTGAGTTCTTTGAAAAACAGGCAGCGCATAAGAAGGTTTTCAGGAATTTGTGCCTTTTGGTAGGAGGGGTCAGATCTCCCCGTCCTTTCCCAGCTGGCAAATAGAAGATGCTGTACCACTGTGTTGTGGCATTGTTGTTAGAGTCACTTAATCCTGCTACATTTCTTGTCTGAGCCTCTGAGCGGAGTCTCTTCAGTACTTCTGGCAAGATTAAGTTTTGATTGACTGCTTTATGTGCTTGTTTATTTTTATAGCATTTAAATCAAACGTATTGAGATGGATTGGGTTATGAAACATAATGGTCCAAATGACGCTAGTGATGGGACAGTACGACTTCGCGGACTACCATTTGGTTGCAGCAAAGAGGAAATAGTTCAGTTCTTTCAAGGTACCGCTAGTATTAGTCAAAGTTTAGTAGTATTTTGATTTTGTATTTGCATTATATATTTCTCAGTTTTTGTTTGTTAAATTCATTTGATTTTATAACTTTGAAGTTTGACTGTGATAATCTTTGATAATGAAAATGTCTTAAAATATGAAATGTGCTCCAGTTAAAATTCAATATAAAGTGTGTAAAGTATGTAAAAATCTGATTGTACAGTAAATTTCATTGAGAATAATTATGTGATTAAAAAAACCATGAATTAGCATGTGGAGCATAATTTTATTTGTAATTTAGGTGGGCTTTTAAATAATGTGTAATTTTTTTTAAAACACTGGTTGCAAAAATACTTTATACTATTTGGAAAAAGTTTATATTATGGGGTGATGGGAAACTAAGCTTTTTTTTGTTTTTGTTTTGTTTTGTTTAGACTTGTTTTAAATATTTGATTCAGATGGGAATGTTTCAGCCTTTAACACTGTTCCCCTTGATGGGGTTATTTGTCCTTGGGTTAAAGGGTTGGAAATCGTGCCAAATGGGATAACATTGACGATGGACTACCAGGGGAGAAGCACAGGGGAGGCCTTCGTGCAGTTTGCTTCAAAGGAGATAGCAGAAAATGCTCTGGGGAAACACAAGGAAAGAATAGGGCACAGGTGGGGATGGAGAGTTTGGGATGGTGTTAAATTTTTATTTTGGGGGTTGTGGGTCACTATTGCTTAAATGGGGGGGTAATGTAACAATAACATTTTTATGGGGTAGTTTAAAGCAATTGATAATTATCTAAATTTAACTTGGAAACTACAGATTTGGGTGGGGAATTAATGCTAATAGTTTGTTTAAATTAAAATTGTTTCCATTCAGTAGGATGTTGTTTGATACTTTTGTATAATCATGTTTTCTTTAAACACCTATTATACTAAAAGAAACAAATATTTACATTTTATGAATTGTTTTCAATGACTAATTTGTCTATCTAAAACTTAAATATTTAATTATTTAAGTTCATAGGTGTAAACATTGTTAACTTATGGTGTATTTAGGCATTGGGTTGTATATCTAGATGTAGAAAAACTGACTGTATTTTGCCCATATTTGAATTATTCTAATACATCCATGCTGAAACCTGTACCTTTAAAACATTTTTAAATAGGTATATTGAGATCTTCAGAAGTAGCAGGAGTGAAATCAAGGGATTTTATGATCCACCAAGAAGATTGCTGGGACAGCGACCAGGACCATATGATAGACCAATAGGAGGAAGAGGGGGTTATTATGGAGCTGGGCGTGGAAGTATGTATGACAGAATGCGACGAGGAGGTGATGGATATGATGGTGGTATGTGTATCTAATGAACACAGGTTCTGTTGTCATTTTCTTAATATTCCTGACACTTTGTCAAGAAATACAGAAATGGCAGTAATTTCAGCACCTACTGGGTTTTAAAACCTGTTCATGAAAATAGATTCCCATTGCAATTGTGGGACTTGATTGATGCACATATTGGCACCTAGAAAACGTGTACATTAATTGAAATGAAGATACTGACTTATTTGCATAAGGATGGAAATAATTTATGTGGCTAAATTTATTCTTAAGATGTTAAATATTCCATCAAGTGTTAAGTGCTTTTTCATATGTACTAAATAAGGGTTTTGGTTACAAACTTGTAATAAAAAAGAATTTAAACTGCTTACTTGTTTTTCAATGTTATAAAGTTGATTTCTTGACAGATATTTTTCCTTAAATTATACAGGCTATGGAGGTTTTGATGACTATGGTGGCTATAATAATTATGGCTATGGAAATGATGGCTTTGATGACAGAATGAGAGATGGACGAGGTAAACATTAAAGACATTTTTTGTTCTGAGATGAATCTTAATCCTTGCTTTAGCGTTGAATGGTAATATAGATGACATGAAAGTTGTATTTAGGATTTTAATTATAGCTTGTAAATATGAATACGTTTCTATGTGTATATATAGTATCTGATGGCAGTTTTAATTTTTCAGGTATGGGAGGACATGGCTATGGTGGAGCTGGTGATGCAAGCTCAGGTTTTCATGGTGGTCATTTTGTACATATGAGAGGATTGCCTTTCCGTGCAACTGAAAATGACATTGCTAATGTGAGTAATTTTACTGATTTTATAATCATCTTGTGTCTAAATTTTTTTTCTTAAAAGATTTATTCATTCACTTGAAAGACAGTTTGGGGGGAAGGGTGGAGAGACAGATCTACCCCTAGTTTGTTCAATCCCTAAGTGGCTGCAACAGTTGGGGCTCAAGCTGAAGCCAAAAGCCTGTAACTTGCCCTGGGTCTCCATATGGGTGGCAGGAATCCAAGCACTTTTAGCTGTCTGCTGCTGCTTTCCCAGCCACATCAGCGAGACGCTGGATCAGAACTGGCATCTCAGTAGCTGCTTAACACACTATACCACAAAATTGGCTTCCAGGGTCTAAATTTTGAGGTATTCTTATTGGCCCCATCTTCTTTACAGTTTAATCTCTAATGTCAAAAATCCTTTGAATATGTAAGTAGTTGACTTTTTTCTGTAGTTGTTTTGATGTATACTGTGTACTGACCCACACAAGATTCAAGCAGGCAAAAAGCTACATTCATAAAACCCAATGAAGTGCAGGAGAGGAGTTGATCAGAAAGATGATCACTGTCTGAGTTTGCCTTCTAGCTCTGGCTCCAACTTCTACTGGTGCGTTAGTACTCAGGTCCCTGCCACCTATATGGAACACCCAGGTTGCACATCAAACTCTATAGCCCAGTCCTGCCCTTGCTATTGCAGGCATGAAGACACTGAGAAAAAAACTGATGACCATAGCGAGTAGTAATAACTGGAATATTACTTCTGTTGTTTTGAAAGTTAATGTATAATGGTGGTTTTGTGAGTATTCTAGGCCAGAAGTAATTAAAAAACAGAAGAGTTAAAAATGGGAAAGTGTTGCTACTGCTGTCCTTGGTTTGTAACTTGGTTTGTTGCTTCACATTATTTGGATGGTCAGCAGTAGTCAACCCTTGGCCCAAGTCCAGTCGTACCCATATGTTGAATGGTTGCATTGGAGACCCAGCAGCCTACAAAGCTGAACATACTTTGCTGTTACTGCAGGTCTTTTGAGAAGTTGGCTGAATTTCCACATACTTTCTTTAAGGATAGATTAGGACTGGTTAAGTTGTGATAGAAGCTGAATAACCTGTCTTTGAGTTACTGAGGTAGAGTTCAAGTATCTGTTTTGAGTCACAGATACATACATTTTCTTCAGCCTTGAGTGGCTAAACAACAACTTTGAAATACCTTCAAGGAACTAAGCTTTAGTATCCCTCGTAGGGTATAGTCTTAACATCCCTAGAAATTGTGGTTGATTGAAGTAGCCTTCAACAGAGAGTGGTGGGTTTATTTTTATGAATCAGAGAAAATGTAGACATGTGGTAATTCACTTCCCAGAATCTGAATGGAAAAAGTAGTTAAGTGTTTTCTTTTTAGTTCTTTTCACCACTAAATCCAATAAGAGTTCATATTGATATCGGAGCTGACGGCAGAGCAACAGGAGAAGCAGATGTGGAGTTTGTGACCCATGAAGATGCAGTAGCTGCCATGTCTAAAGATAAGAATAATATGCGTAAGTGCTTTCCTGGGCATGCTATGTGGTTTGTGGGATGTGATCTTGTCAGTTTCTTGTTTGCTTAAATAAATGCAAAACGTCCGTGAAACTAGGGAATTCTTAGAAGTCACTGGGACTTTAAAACCATTTGACCTCTTAACTTGATCCCAAGTGGCTTCCTGGCAGCTTGTACTATGAATTATTGTTGATAAAACTGAACTTTTTGGAGCTTTTATTAATAGAGTTGATCTATTCTTTTATCCTATTACCCTTGATTTTTCTCTTAAAGAGCATCGATACATTGAACTCTTCTTGAATTCCACTCCTGGAGGCGGCTCTGGCATGGGAGGCTCTGGCATGGGAGGCTACGGCAGAGATGGAATGGGTATGTAAAGTTTTTAAAATGAGAAATCTTAGCTACATTACCAGACATTCTCTAAATTTTTTTGTTTTTCTTTTGTAAAGATAATCAGGGAGGATACGGATCTGTTGGAAGAATGGGAATGGGGAACAATTACAGTGGAGGCTATGGTACTCCTGATGGCTTAGGAGGTTATGGTGAGTATCTAATATGTTCTCTTGGATTGCAGATATTTGTAAAATAGTGTACATAGGTGCCTCCTGCTGAATGATTCTTAATGCTTGTATTCTTTAAGGCCGTGGTGGTGGAGGCAGTGGCGGCTACTATGGGCAAGGTGGCATGAGCGGAGGTGGATGGCGTGGGATGTACTGAAAATATCACCAACATACACAAGGAAAAATCCTAACAACAGCATCTGGTCTACTAGACTTTCTTACAAATTTCTTTTGTATTTTAAGAACTTTATAATGACTGAAGGAATGTGTTTTCAAAATATTATTTGGTAAAGCAACAGATTGTGATGGGAAAATCTGTTTTCTGTAGGTTTTATTTGTTGCATACTTTGACTTAAGAAATAAATTTTTATATTCAAACCACTGATGTTGATACTTTTTATATACTAGTTACTCCTAAGGATGTGCTGCCTTCATAAGATTTGGGTTGATGTATTTTACTATTAGCTATACAAGTAGTAAGTAGTATTAGTGTAATACTAAAGGATCATGGCTCACCCCTGCATAAACTGCAAGTCTTAATAAGCAGACATCTGGAATAGAGCTTAAAGAATAATTAGTGTAACTTTAATTTCTCCTGGACAACACTGTATATATAAAGCCTAAAGAGGAATTTAAGTGGCATCAAAAGTATAAAATCAGCTAAATTCTATATTCTTTTTCTCAAATGTCATTTATCAAACATAGCTCTGAAATGTTGATGGTCCCTTAGAGGTACCTGGGTTTCTGAACACTCAAAATTGTGTTACCTGAGGATGGGAAGATTGGAAGTTAGATACTAGCCCTACCTGTTGAGATAAAAATCCCCTCAGCACTTGACTGAATTACAAGAAATGCTTCTAAAACCTGATGATTGTTAATTCAAGTTGTTTTAGAAAGCTAAGATTGTTGAATTCCACAGAATTGTCAGATGTATTTTCAGTCTGCTGCCCAAATCTTTAAATAATTGTATAAATGACTACGTTAAGCAAATGTAAGGGAAGTCCATGTCATAAGTAAAAGAACCTTGCGGTTGGCTTTGCATCTGATACCTGCCCGTCTTAGTTTATTATGTAGCAAGGAAAAGGTGCTTTTTAATTTTAATCTCCTTGGTCAATATACCTTTTTTTCCCAAATTGGCTAATGGATCAAAATGAAATTGTCAATGTGAATATTCAGTTATTGAACTTGTTACTTGTTTTTGCTAGAAATGTTAATGTAATAAATGTCAATGTGGGAGATAATACGGTGTCCTGGAATGCTTTGTGTCAGTTACTGATCATCAGATAGTACAAAGTACTGTGTATTTTGTGTAACAGAAGATTGCATTAACACAAAGTGACTTCCTCAGATAGTTTCTGGGTTAGGAAAGCAGACAGGATAGCTTATTTGGAGCTTTTCATGACAAGTTTAGATTTCTTAGTGCCACCCCGTCCCACCCCAGGATATTCAAACATTAACATGAAATACCTTCCTTTTTTTCAATTCACATGAGCTTTTACTTTTCTAGTATTATCTTAAAATCTTAAGAAATTGGGCCCAGTGCAGTAGCCTAGCAACTAAAGTCCTCACCTTGCACGCACAGGGATCCTATATGGGCACCAGTTCTAATCTTGTGGCCCGCTTCCCATCCAGCTCCATTTGTGGCCTGGGAAAGCAGTCAAGGACAGCCCAAAGCCGTGGGACCCTGTACCCATGTGAGAGACCCAAAGGGAGCTTTGGATTGGTGCAGCTCAGCTCCGGCTGTTGCGGCTGCTTTGGGAGTGAATCAACGGATGGAAGATCTTCCTCTGTCATTCCTTTCTGTATGTCTAACTTTCCAATTAAAAAAAAAATTAAAATGAAGCTTGCCATTCTAAAATGAGTTAATTTTTTCAAATCTTTATTTAATACTTTATAAAATTCACATTTTGTTTTTAAAATACAGGTTAGAATTACAATTGCAATTCCTTGGCACCATGATAGCATTGTGGTAATACTGGCTAGGAGAGGAAATGGCATGTAAAATCTGTTTTGAAGTTAGTGTTTAAAATTTATAATCCAAGTTTCATTACAGAATAGTCCAAGATTAGTATATACGGTTTTAAAGTAATCTAAAACTAAAGTGACTTAGAAAAAGTGCCTTCAAAAAAATGCAAGATCAATGACAAGAATTTTCTGCGATGAAAAAGTCAACTAAAAATGTTTTTTCATCATTTAGAATGAAATTATTTAGAATTTAAACTAAAATTAGATAGTTTATTTATGCTGATCTTTTATGTAATCATAAAAGTACTCACTCATTCACTGATACAAAAGTTCCTAAGAATACCTGTCTTTTGAGGCCATCCTGATAATACTGTTCAAGAAAGACCATCAAAATCTGTGTTCAATTTATTTGAAGTTACTATCTCAAAAACTGACTAGAAACTTACAGGTTCTAGAGAAAATAGAGTAAAATACTGAGTTCACACTTTGGCAGTTTAGAAAACAAAATTTTAGTGAAAGTAGTTCTCAGGAGAAGACCATCCTACTCTGGGGGAAAAGGCAGTAACTAAGTAACCATTAATGGAATGCTCCCAGGGAATAAATACATGCATGGAACATACAAGAATAGGAGCCTGAATGGATGCTTTGAAAATGATTATCCAGAGGTAACAGTTTTTATAGATCAACTTCGTATTAATGCTATAAGTAGTGTCATTGGGTTTGTGTTCATTCTATCAGCTTATATAGAATGCGTTTTATGGTAGAGCAGAACCCTCTTTCAAAACCCTGGCACAGAGGTGCTTGGCGGACATAATTAATTTTACTGTACACATACTGTGGCAGTGTTAGACCATTACAATAGAATGTTAATGAAGTTTCTCTAAAGGAAGTGTAATAGATTTTTGAATGAGTCAAGCTCTGATCACATCAAAGGAAAGTTCTTTCCCTCACTTTTAACACCTAAAGGAAAGAATCAGCAAGGAGCCTGTTGCCCCTGCTATTCCAGACACTGTTTTCTGGAAGAGGGTTTTCATCTTTGAAGTGTGAAATCTGCCACTTAAAAAATAGTGGTAATTTAGTGCAAAAGGCAGTTGTATGTGGGGAAGTCTGTATGTGGAAAGTAACTTCAGGTAAAAAGATAATGGTTTGTACACCTTGTTCTGGATTTCAAGGGGACAACTGAGAAAAGATTAGCTCAGTGTACCGGAAAGATACCACAAGCACAAGAATTTGTAGGGTAAGCTGAATGGCCTTCGTGAGTGCACAAGAGGCAAAGAAGGAAACAGTGCAAATGGAGCTGAGCTATACACCAAGATAACTGGAAAACGTGTTGGATTGAATATTAATACGTTAAGATTGATGCTTTTCCAGTTTCAAAACTGTGAAGCTTTAAAGTGCATTAGAGAATCGCAGGCACCGTCATATCAATGTGACAATCTAGGACAAAACAAGCCTTATTTTTGAAAAGGCCTTTTCAGAAGATAAGGCAAGGGTGTGTTATCTATTCTATCTGACCTTGCAAGGAGATAAGGGTTACATGATTACATTAATAATTTAGCCAATCTTGTTTAAAGCATGCTTTGTTGAAAATTCTGAGTAACAGAATTCAGGAAATCATCCTATTTATAATGGCCATGAGCTGAATAAGTAGCTCAACTACCCCAGTTAACTACCTGGCTGAAAGCTGCGTAAGAAAGGCTGTCTGGACAGCTTGTATACATGATCCTGTAGGTGGGTTTGGTCCTGGAGTGTCACTGCGGGTTAGATGAGCATCTCTGAATGAGCAGCGCATGACAGGAATCACAGACCCGCACTGGCTTTGGTGAAGAAGGCAAAGGCAGTTCGTTGTCAGAGCAGGCGTTACAAAAAATCTCCCCACAGTTTCTACAGTGGTGCTATTAAATGGAAAAGGAAGGACTATGATTAAAACAAAAACATTTTAGCACGATATTTTTGGACTGTGTCTACCTCCCTTACCTTTCTTTTTGAAAGTGAAAATTCTTTTTCACAGAGTTTACAGTGTGTCGCTTCTTTGTCTTTCAGCCAAACCAGTCCCTAAATAGGAGGGAAAGTATGAAAATTAATGTTCAAGTTGGTAACACTAAAACGACATGCAAAGATCCTTTTCTCTGAAGACATTTTAGAATAAAAAAAGAATCAACTAGTGAAATATCTAGATGAAATAGACTTCCATATTCTGAATTGGGGATTAGCAATGCAGGTTGAGCAAAAAAAGATTGCCAGAGCTTGCCCTGACTCCATTCCAACTCTGCTTCGAGTCCAGCTTCCTGCTAATAACAAGGAAAGGCAGAAAATGGCTCCAGAGCCTTGGCCCTTGCCACTTGGCGTGGAAGTCCAGGATACAGCTAGCGTCAGCCTGGCTCACATGGCTATTGCAGGCACTAGAGAAGTGAACTAGCAGTTAAAAAAATAATCTTGGGGCCTGGTGCGGTAGCCTAGTAACTAAAGTCCTTGCCTTGCACATACCAGAATCCAATATGGTTGGCGGTTCTAATCCTGGAAACCCGGTTTCCCATCCAGCTCCCTGCTTGTGGCCTGGGAAAGCAGTTGAGGATGGCCCAAAACCTTGGGACCCTGCACCTGTGTGGGATACCTGGAAGAGATTCCTGGATCCTGGCTTTGGATCGGCTCAGCATCGGCCGTTGCACTCACTTGGGGAGTGAATCATCGGACGGAAGATCTTCCTCTCTGTCTCTCCTCTCTGTATATCTGACTTTGTAATAAAAATAAATAAATCTTTAAAAAAAAAATCTTACTCGCTGAGCACCATGTAAAGGACTTGATGGATGTAGTTTGACTTTCTGTCCACACGGAGTGAAGCAGATTGGCAAGCATCATCTTAGGTTGTTAACTAACCTTTAACAAATTGGAGGTCAGCCTTCCAAATCTCTTTTTGACAATACAACATACATTACTCTCTTCCGAGGGGAAAAATGTGCCCGAGTGGGGACATATAAGGCCCATAAGTCATTCAGTCTATCTGGCCTTGCAAAGACAACCATAGGTGGGACATAAAACACAATAAATCTATAGTGGGTTAATTTTTATAATTTTGTGTGACCTACAAATGATGTAAATTTCTCAATGGCCCTTGGCAGAACAAGGTTCCCCACCCTGTATAAGGTAGGGCTGATGTGTCCTCCATTAGATCTTAGCTCACTCACAGATGAGAAAACTTGGCATTTAGAGAGCTGACACTTATTCAAGGAAACAGCTATTTTTAAGCAAAACTAAGACTAAAAGGGATCAAATTACTGCTTTGCAAAATAAAATGGCTATATTCTTCCTCCCCAAAATGTTAACTGCTAAGCTTACATGTTCCAGAAAGGATTTCAGAGTAGTCTCTGCACCAAATCAATTGCTGTATGGGGAAAGTCCTGTAGATTCTAAATACTTAATAGCTCTTCAGTTACCAGTTTCTCTATAGTGGTGAGTCTACCATACTTCCAAAAAGCTTTTCAGGTGCCCTTCCATAAAGTGGGGGTCATTACCACTCTACAAGAAAGCTTTGGACATGAAACACTCAGCCAGAGTAACCCAAGAATTGGAATTTAGAACAGAGTGGTGATGGTAAAAGAACACTTTAGGAAACAATGAATATCTTCACAGATAAAATATAGCATGATATTCACTTTAGAAGGAAAATGAGCAAATAGTCTATTATGTATTAAAACTTAGGTAGCAGGGGTTGGCTCTGAGATACAGTGAGTCAGACGTACCCTGTGATACCAGCCTCCCATAAGAATACCAGTTCCAGTCCCAGATGCTGCAGTTCCAGTTCCTTGCTAATGTGCCTGGGAAAGCAGCAAAACATGGCCCAGGTCCTTGGGTCCCTGACACCCATGTACAGCCTGCTCATGGTGGCCATTTGGGGAGTGAGCCAGGGGATGGAAGAGCTCTCTGTCCGTTACTCTGTCACGAATGTGTGTATCTAAAAGTCGGGGCTGGCACTGTGGTGCAGCACGTTATGCCACTACCTGCAATGCCAGCATCCATATTAGAGAACTGATTTGAGTCCTGGCTACTCTGCTTTTGATCCAGTTCTCTGTAGATACACTGAGAAAACAGCAGAAGATGGCCCTAATGCTTGGGTCCCTGTCACCCAACTAGGAGACCTAGTAGCAGAATTTTTTTAAATGTACAGAAGCTTGTATCTAATCTAATCAAGGACTGGCATTAACTTTGAGTTCACAGGCAATAAGAGGGCTAAGAAACAAGATTTCTAAGCAAGCAATTATTTAAAATCCAAAATGTGAAAAAAAAAGTTTATGAGAGCTGTCCCAGGATCTTCACGGAAGAAAAAAGTAAATAAATATAAACATGTAAATCCATATACCTATGTTATGAAAATGAGAAATATTTGCTAAAGACAGATGTAACTAATAGCAACAACGATTAACAGTTTAGAGTTCCTGTAGGGAGAGTGCGGTCAGGAAGCCCACGAGGGACTTCTGACAGTGCTCATGCCCCAGCGCAGGCTAAGCAGAGGATATGCAAGGCTTCTTTTAGGGTTGTTTTGTTTATCTGAAAGGCCGAATTACACAGAAGGATCACTAGATCACGATCCAAAAGATCACCACAGCTGGGGCTGGGCCAGCCCAAAGCCACAAACGCGTAACTCCATCTTGGTCTCAACAGGAGTACAGGGCCCAAGGTCTTGGGACATCTGCTAATTTTCCGGGAGTTGGGTAGGAACTGGGACTTGAACTGGCACATATATAGGATGCTGGTGTTGTTGGCAGTAGCTTAACATGCTGGCAACAACGCAGGTCTCTGTTCTATTTCAGTTTAACATTTATTTTAACATACAGCAGCAGAGAAAGGAAAAGAAATCCTCCATAAGCACGTTCTCTTCCCCAAGTACCTGAAATAGCCAGGGCTGAGCCAGGCGGGAGCCAGATGCCAGGAATTTATCCTGGTCTCACATAGGAGTGGCAGAGTTCTAAATACTTACACCATAATCTGCTGCCTTCCCAGGCACATTAGCAGAAAGCTGGATTGGACAGGGAGTAGCCAGGACTGGAACTGGTACTCCAGTATGGGATACCAGCATTGCAAAGATGTAGCTTAACCCACATCATATGTCAGCCCCTACAAGTGTTTTTAAGTTGTACTGCACGTGTACCCTTCTGTATACATAATACATTTGACAATGAAAAAGCTTCTGAAAGTTTAAATAATACTGGTTTGGGCAAACATGTCTACCCACCCAGAAGTCTCTGTTTTGTTTTGAATAAAATTTGGCTCCCTAAACTCTTACAAACATTTACACCTCAAAGTCTTATATTAACGGGTAAAGAATGAATGGCTGATAAAGTAACAGTGAAGGTATAACTCAGCCTTTTGTAGGATATCTGAAGGCAGAAGCTTTAGGGGGTGATCAGATTGGATTAGGTTGCTAGGGTACAGCTATATAATGAAGCCATGGTGGCATAAAGAACCACAGAGAGGGTACACAGGCAGTATGCTACCTGTACTGGCTTCCTGGCTCATTTTAGTATCAGCATCCTGCCAACATCTGAGCCCACCAGATGCCTGAATTGTGGGGCTGCCCTATCCTGGACTGTTGATCTCCAAACCTCCCTTCATCTCAGGTGTCTCTGTTGTAATGAGAAGCTGAAAAACACAGTGTGAGAGCAGAACATTCAGATGTGCAAATTCTTAAAATCTTTATCTACATTCGCCATTTTCCAAGAAACTGGTAAAACGATATTTTGCCTAAAACAGGAGAATAAACCAAAAAAACAAGTGAAGGGGTTCAGGTAACAGGAGTTTCCCATGTAAGGAAAAGATAATGGGAATTCCAAGAATAAAAGTAACAGGAAACATAAAAATAGGAGGGACCAGAGCAGATATGAGTAGAACAGAGAACTCCATGAAGAATAACTCCAAGAAAACAGCGAACTAGCCAATTACCTGACACACTTTACCAAGTGATCAATTTTAACTAAAAGTATTTTGTTGTTTTGAAGGTATGAGAATATTCAGATATTTGACCACAATGAAATAAAAATTTCAAAAGAAAAGGAGGCAGTTATTAACAGCATAAGAAATAAAAAGAGTTTCAAGTAACAAAATAGCAATTTGCAGTACCTGGCCCCAGCAAGAATCGGCATTCACATAGTCATAATAAGTGAATTACACACACACACAAATTTACTAAATTTTACTGGGAGAATAGGGAAGAAAAAGACCAAGAGAACAAAACTTGACAAGTTTAAATTTAATCAAGAGCAAATAAGCGGAGAAATGGCGTAAGACAAGGGGAGCAAAGAATAAAAGATTGCTACTGTAATTTGGAGAGTATAGCAGGTAAGTCCTTTGAATGCTATTTTCCAAAATACTTGCATGTGACAATGACTGAAAAGTGAAGGAGGGAAGCCAGGGCTGTGGTAATGCTGGTTAACCTGCCTCCAGCAACACCAGCATCCTGTATGAGCAAGTCCCAGGTGCTCCCCTTACCATGCACTTCCCTGTTAAAGCACCTGGGAGAGGATGGCCCCAGTGCTTGGGCCCCTGTTACCCATGTGAGAGAGCCCGCTGCTATTCCTGGACTCTGGGTCCAGCCCGGCCCAGACTCAACCACTGCAACAATTTGGGGAGAGTGAACCACTGAGTAGAAAAGCTCTTCCCTCTTCTGTCGCCAACTTGCCTTTCAATTAAATAAATGAAGCTTAAAAAGTAAGTTTGTCAAGCTATGGGGTAGGACACTATGTTCTCCAATGTTGTAAAAGGGATTCTTGCAAGACACGTTCCTCATACTGTATACTAGAAACTATACCAATCACTTTCAAACAGACTACCACACCTGATTTTCAGAGAAACTCCACGCAGGGTGGCACTTCCATCTCAGAAGACCTAACAAATTTAGTGAGGGGATGCGACTTCCTGAACTAACAGCCTGGCATATGAACTCGAGGCCTCTTCAGAGACAATGTATTTCATTCACTCTATCATGTCACACTTCATAGGGAATAAGAAAAAACTATTTATATGGCATTTCTAACAGGAAGTTTATTAATAATATGACTCTCGAGGTACAAGAAAGAGAAGGGTTCCCATCACACAGATCTCCATTCCTTTGCTTCAATGATAACACATTTCTAGGGGACAGCACCATGGCTCAACTGCCTCCTCCACCTGCAAGTTCCAGCACCACATATGGGCACTGGTTCAGGTCCCAGCTGCTCTACATGCAGCCCTGTTTATACCCTAGGAAGGCAGGGGAAGACGGCCCGAGTCCTTAGGACTCTGCACCCACACAGAGACCCAAAGAGCTCCTGGCTCCTGGCTTAGGACTGGCTCAGCTCTGTCCATCATCGCCACTTGGGGAGTGAACCAGCGGACAGCAGACCCTCCTCTCTGTCCTTCTCCCTGAAATCTGCCTTTCAAATAAAAATAGATGAATCTGTTAAAAAACACATATTTCTATAGGATCTTCCTGTTGGGGTCCATGCAGTGGATGTGGGGGACACGAAGGTGTGAAGAGTATTGTTCCATTGCAGGCAGGGCTGCAAGGAACTTCCCGCTGTTTGGCAGGCCAGGTGGATGTCTCTACAACCACCTGAATGCAGCTCCACCTTCCTTTGCATGGACACTGGACCACCCTGCAGAAGAACTCTAAGCCATTCAGGCATTGTTTGCTACTGTGGAGTTGGCTTTTTTACTCAATGTGAGCTTGAAGGTTAATGTCAATAATAACGTCTTGCAAAAGGGCCTTCTCTTATTCCTACTGTCTTGGCTGTCCCCACTGACCTTATGCTAATCAAGGGATGTATATTTAGGCTTTCATCTTTAGGTTCTCGATTTCTTTGTGATACAAGATTGAATTGTAGAATAAGAATTGTAGCAGGGAGTTCTATTGTTTTTCGGTAAGACACATGGCAGAATTATCCTTAGAAACACCCACTTGACCATGACGTAAAAAGGCTGAGCCAGAGTTTGACTGGTTCTGTATAAATAAAGCGGACAGCTTTATTGCATTGTCCACAATGATCATGGAATCCTAGTGGTCCATCTCTCTCTACTCTCTTTGCGCCTCATCCACCCACATTCGTGAGTTCTGAACTCAGCTGGACTCAGGCATCTTCCCATATATCCATATCTTTCTACTGAAAGGAAACATTTTATACTCACCTGTAATGCTTTGTTGGCTTCTTTTATGTCTTCTATTTTGAGTTTTGATCTAAAAAGATTACAAATACACCCAAATTTCAGCACACATTTTTAAACAAAACACCTTTTTAAACATTAGAAAGTATTAGTTTATGATCATAAAAAAATCATAAAATCATTTATGATCCTAATGATTTTTTATGGCCAGTGGGATATTTCATATCTTCCTGTATTTCCTAAATGTCTAAGCAAAAACGTATCTAATTTAAAATGTGCTTCTTTAAAGAAAGAAGTGTTGGCAGTTTCACGTGATCATGTCAAAATCAGGGACTAAAATTCACTGTAGATTTACTATGTGGTAAACACTCTGACAGACCCTGTGCTTGCATACCCTCAACCCCAAATCTTCACAGAAATCTAGTAAAAATGAACAGACAAAATGATATTAAATCACCTGTAGGAGCTCAAAGAAGTGGAAATTGAGGAAGTCAGGACTCACACTCTGCCCTGTGTGAACTCAGAATGCACATGCTAACCATTTACGCTCATTATTTCTCCAGCAAGTATACAGCAGGGGCTAAAGGAGAAAATGTTGTGGAGGACTTAACTGTGATACTTTCCTGCCTTCAGAAAATATATATGTGAAAGTGAATGCAGATTTTAACTGGCAATATTTAATTTGTTTTAGTAATACATTCAATTCTAAATTAAATCTTCACAAGTTTACCCCAGAGACCTGGCAAAATATTCAGTCAAGATATAAAGATGGAGCCAACCCAAAGCACAATTAGAAGGTTGAGAAAAATGAGCCATGAGGGCTCAGCTAGCTAATCTTCTACCTGAAGTACCAGCATCCCATATGGTCGCTGGTTCTCATCCCAGCAGCTCCACTTCCCATCCAGCTCCCTGCTTGTGGCCTGGGAAAGCAATTGAGGACGGCCCAAAGCCTTGGGACCCTTTAACCATGTGGAAGACCTGGAGTAGGAAGTTACTGGCTTCCAGATCAGCTCAGTTCCGGCCTTTCAGACTGCTTGGGGAGTGAATTATCGGGCAGAAGATTTTCCTCTCCGTCTCTCCTCCTCTCTGTATATCTGCCTTTCCAATAAAAATAAAACAAAATAAAAATATTAAAAAAAAAATTCAGCACCTGTTGTTTCGGTAAAACATACTAAGTGAACTCCTGGATTATTTGCCCTGGAAGAAATGAAATATGATTCTGTGCTCTCACCTGCTGGGAAACATTCACAGCTAAAATCCAGTAAAACTTTCAACAGAATCTCTCCAATCTAGTAATTCTTAAAGTTTTTTTGTGCTTTGTCTTTCATTCCTGTATCTAAACTTCTCTGCCTCACGGTTTGGTAACACACATGTTCTCTATCGGCATCAAGGGCACTCAGACAAAGGAAAGAAGTGCACGTACTCGCTGAGCTTGCTGCCAAGTTCTTGAAGAGCTTGCTCTTGCTCATGATAGACTTTTCTCAACTGCTGGTTTTCATCCTGGAGGTTGAGGAACTCCTTCAAAACAATAAATGACACACACACAAAAGTAATTAAAAAACAAGAAGAAACTAGACGTGTGTGTGTGTGTGTATGTGTGTGTGTGTGTGTGTGTGAGAAAGAGACTAATTAGCAGAATCTCTCAGCTTTTAATGAAAAATGAAATTATGTGTCCAAAGCTCTTTCCTAGCTGTTCCAACTATTGCCCACTCACTTCATCTCTTCATTTATCTATTTTTAAAATGACCTGCTGTCCTGTTTTTCTTGACATAAAAGTAAATTATGATTCATCTTTTGAAATAAGTTGACATGTGTTAAGACAAGTTTTACCACTATTTACTTTTTTAAGACCAGTCATTTGTTGGGTCTCATTTCTGAGATGAGATAAGGCCTCTTTCTCCTTCTGAAGATCTTCCTGCAAAGTCTGCCTCCACTCCTTCTCAATCTTCAGATCCGTTTCTAGCTGTACCCTTGAAGCACAAATAAACAAAAGTTCAAGTGTTTTTTTATCACACAAGGATTGTATATATATCTTAATAGCAATAACTTTCTAATTCCATTTTTTAAAAAAGAAGCTTTTTTACTGAGTTGAAAGCAGAATGAAAGAAACAGAGAGAGAAAAACAAAGAGAGGATCTTTCCTCTGTTGCTGGTTTACTTCCCAAATGACTAGGAACTCCATCTGGTTCTCCCGCTGGTGGCAGGGCCCAAACATTCAGGCCATCAGATGCTGCCTCCCAGGAGCCTCAGTAGGGAGCTCGATCAGAAGCAGAAGAACCAGTGTTCAAACTGATGTGCCAACATGGGATGCTGTAGTCACAATTAGCAGCTGAATTTGCTGCACAACACCAGCTCTCACGTGTCTCATATTTCTTAACACAATTTCTTTCTTCAACAAAAAATTTGATATAAAAAGTGCAAAGACAGAGGAGACCTCCTTTAAGCTGGTTCACTCCCCAAATGCCCATAGAAGCTGGGGCTAGGCCAGGAGCTGGCAACCCCATTAGGGTATCCCAGAGGGGTGGCAGAAACCCAGTCCTCCAGCCATCATCTGCTGCCTCCTGGTGAGTGCATTAACAACTAGGAATAGGGCAGGATGCGATGCAGGCACTCTGGAATGGGAATGTTGCAAGTGGTGGATCTTAATCACTACACCAAAGCCTACCTATCCTATATATTTGTTAGTGAACAAGCTCAGCAAAAATTTTTTTAAAGATTTATTTATTTATTGGAAAGTCAGATATACAGAGAGGAGGAGAGACAGAGAGGAAGATCTTCCATCTGCTGATTCACTCCCCAAGTGGCCACAATGGTTAGAGCTGAGCCAATCCAAAGCCAGGAGCCAGGAGCTTCTTCTGTGTCTCTCACAAGGGTGCACATTCCCAAGGCTTTGGGCTGCCCTCAACAGCTTTCCCAGGCCACAGGCAGGGAGCTGGATGGGAAGCAGAGCAGCCAGGATACGAACCAGGGCCCATATGGAGTCCTGGAGCATGCAAAGTAAGAACTTTAGCCGCTAGGCTACTGCACCAGGCCCCTCTTTTTAAGATTTTTTTTTTTTTTTTTTGGAAAGTCAGATATACAGAGAAAGGAGGAGAGACAGAGAGGAAGAACAATTTTTTTTAAAAGATTTATTTATTTTTATGTGAAAGGCAGACTTAGGAAAAAAAAAAAAAGACAGAGGGAAACATCTTCCATCCACTGGTTCACGCTACAAGCTGAGCTAATCCAGAGCTAGGAGCCAGGAGCTTCTTCCTGGTCTCCCACATGAGTGCAGGATCCTAAGGCTTTGGGTCATCATTTATTGCTTTTCCAGGCCACAAGCAGAGAGCTGGATGGGATGTGGAGCAGCCAGAACAAAAAGACGTGTCTGTACGACTTCCTAGAGCATGCAAGGCAGAGATTTTAGCCACTGAGCCATTGCACCAGGACTCCAGCTCAACTTCTGATCGAACTCTTCGCTAATGCTCCTCGGAAAGCAGCAGAAGCTGACACAGGTATCTGGGACCCCATCACCCACTTGGGAGCCATGGGTGGAGTTTCAGATTCCTGGCTTCTTCCTCACCCAGTACTGGCTATCGTGGCCATCTGAAGAGTGAACCAGCAAACGAAACACCTCGTTCTCCCTCTCTGTAACTGTGCAACTACTCACAGAAATACAATCAACTTTAAAAAATTGTGAAATACAGGCTGGTGTGGTGCCACAATAGGCTAATCATCCATGTGTAAGCATCACCATCCTATATGGGTACCGGTTTGTGTCTCAGTTGCTCCACTTCTGATCTAGTGCCCCACTAACAGTCTGGGAAAGCAAAAGAAGGTGGTGAGTCCTTGGAATCCTGCACCCACGTGGGAGACCCAAAAGCAGCTCCTGGCTCAGCAGACTGGCTGAGTCAGCTGAAGCTGATTCCTGGGCCCAGTGCAGTGGCACAGCAAGTTAATTCTCTGCGTGCATGCCCTGTGGGTGCTGGTTTGTGTCCTGGCTGCTCTGTTTCTGATGCAGCTCTCTGCCTGTGGCCTGGGAAAGCAGGAGAGTATAGTCCGAGTGCTCAGGCTTTTGGACCCACATGGGAGACCTGGAAGAAGCTCCTGGCTTGGGGTAGCTCAGTTCTGGCTGTTTTGGCCATTTGGAGAGTAAACCAATGAATGCAAGACCTGTTTCTCTGTCTCTGCCTCTCTCTCTCTTCTTTATATAAATCTGCCTTTCAAATAAAAATAATAAATGTTAAAAAGAAAAGCTGATTACTGCAAAAATACACAGAAAAGGCTACATCTATATAATTGAGATATGAAAACTCAAACAATAAGGTGCAATTTTCTAGGCCAAAGGATTACTGTAAGTTAACCATAACATGTTGGTATAGGCCTGTGTTAATGGATGCGATACAGTGTCCATGATGTAGCAAATAAAAATGCAAGATACTAAGGGATGTGCAGCATGATATGTCTAACAAAAATACAAAAATAATTGCATATACCAAAAAAGCATTTTCAAGTTGGTTAGCTTTCATTTTTTCCCTACTTTTCATATTTTCTGAAGTTTTCACTCAGAGCATGTCATCTTTTCATAACTAATACAGTTAGTTCCATTTTAGGAGAAAAATGGAACTTCTCTTTGTCTGACAAGTCCCAGCTGCCCATTTATATGCGTACAGTTCCAAGTGTTCAGAACTGTCAGGGATTCCCCTCTCTCTGAACTGACAGTTCATGTTCTACCAACCCAGCACCAACTGAGGTGGGCTGGCTTTTAGCATCACTGCAGGCAAACCTCTCTCTGCAGCTGCGCTCAAGCTCTGCTCAGTACAGCAGGGCAGGCGGAGGTCCCTCAAGGGGCCTGGGAGCATGCACATTTGGGCGGGGATTAAAAAAATAATGGCATCACTGAAGCATATGTCACATCACTACAGAGTAAATACCAAATTTGTCCTTTCCAAGTTTTTGTCAAACATTAGAAAGGAGACTCAGTAAGAGAGTAAATATGATTTGGGGGCTGGCGCCATGGCTCAACAGACAAATCCTCTGCCCTGTGGTGCCAGCATCACAAATCCTCTGCCCTGTGGTTTGTGTCCTAGCTGCTCTGTTTTCCATCTGGCTCCTAGTTTATAGCCTGGAAAAACAGCGGTGGGTGGCCCAAGTCCTTGGGACCTACAAACTCCTAATTCCTGGCTTCAGATCAGCTCAGCTCTGGCTGATGTGGTCACTTGGGGAGTGAACCAGTGGACTGAAGAAGACCTTCCCCAGTCTCCCCTCTCTATAAATCTTTGAAATACGCACAAATAAATCTCAAGAGATAGAGAGAAATGCTGTTTCAAGACAACATTCTACTGAATAGTAATGTGTCTCGTCTTGCTTTTGCTGGGTTTCGTTTGACAGGGCACAGGTTCGGACACAACAGAGCTGGAGTACCCTCAACAAACTGGGTTTACATATTCCTAGGATGTTGCTTGACCAAGGTAGCCCTGGAAGCACTGGCTATCCTTTTCTGAAAGTGCTTCACATTAAGAGCAAATTCTTGATTGTGAGGTATTTTTGTTTTTTGGACAGTGGGCTTTAGTTTCTATTTTTGTTTGTATTTTAAGATTTATCTTAAATTTTTTTTTTAATTGAAAAGGCAGCTTTAAGAGAGGAGATAGAGAGAGAAAAATCTCTCCACTGGTTCACTCCCCAAGAGACCACAACAGCCAGAGCTGAGCTGCTCTGAAGCCTTAGCCAGGAGCTTCTTCCATGGGTACAGGGTTCCAAGGCTTTGGGCCGTCCTCAACTGCTGTTCCAGGCCACAAGCAGGGATCTAGATGGGAAGTAGAGCAGCTGGGATGGGAACTGGCGCCCATTTGGGATCCCAAAGTACACATGGAGAGGATTCAGCCATTGAGTCTAGGCTATAGTTTCACAATATATAAATTTATAAATATATAAAAAAGTCTCCAAACAGGACAATATTCCCTGGAATAAAGACTTAATTCTCTATATCAATTCCTCAAAATATGATTTTTGTGTTAGATTTAAAAGACACTTAGAATTCTGGTTCTAAATGAGATGGAATAAACACATTACTCCTACCCTGTCAAATAACTGTAGCTCAAAACCCTGAATGGATATCTACTTCCAAATCAAAGATGAACTCCCAATTAAACGATTAAATATGTCTTGACAACAGGATTCTGGATTCTCTGCCACTGCCTATACCTACAATGTCAGGATACACTGAAACAGCAGAACGATGGTCTTATGACCGTTAATGAAGTACTATATATATATCATAATAATACAGTGGAAATCTGTGAGGGAAAGCAATGTGGGGAGGGCAAATCCCAGAGCCTATGGCACTGCATCATAAAACAAAACAAAAAACTGCCCTTCCCAGAAACATGTTCAAAATCCGACTTCCTAAGCTTTGTCTTAAAGGTAGATAGCATGGTACCCCGGTGGCTAGGGTCCTTGCCATGGATACGCTGGATGGGATCCCATATAGGTAACAGTTTGTGTCCCAGCTGCTCATCTTCCCTTCCAGCTCCCTGCTTCTGGCCTGGGAAAGCAGTGGAGGATGGCCCATGGCCTGGGAACCCTGCACCATTATTGGAGACCTGGAAGAAGCTCCTGACTCCTGACTTCAGACTCAGCTCAGTTCTGGCTATTGTGGCCACTTGGGGAGTGAGCCGGCAGATGGAAAAGCTTTCTGTTTCTCCTTTCTGTAAATCTGACTTTCCAATAAAAATAAATAAATCTTTTTTAAAAAGTAAATTGTTTTCAAAATAAAATGAATCAAATTTTTATATACTAGGGGAAAAAAAACCTGGGACATACACAACAGAAAGGTTAAGACAACTTCGCCTGGCGTGAGAAGGCAGGTGTTTAGGAAATCCCAGACCTGAGGAACAAGTGGTGACTCACTACAGTTTCTCTTCTCTGCTGTTGTTCAGCCTGGGTAACAGAGAAGCCCTCAACCCCTCAACACCAACGGGCACAGACAATGAAAGCTCCAAGCAAAGCCTACTCTTTCAGCAAAGGACTGGGATGGAGATGTCTCACGCATAACGGGCTTTTGACAACACCCGATTCAAACAAAACAGCAGAGGAAAAAAAAAAAAACCTATGGCCTCCCCACAAAATCCCATTGGCACAGGCTGAGGCGGGGCCCCAGAAGCTCACTGTTGCCTAGCAATAATGAGGTGTACCATGTATTCCCTGCTGTGGAGCTAGCATGTGCTGTACCAACCAGCAGCGATAAGGTGTCTCCATGTGCCAGTGGCACCTGGAACTCTCAGCCCCATGCTGCAGCAAGCAGGCATTCCCTATCTGCCCCACAGTGGCAGCGAAAGCCAAGAGGAACATCTAGGTGTGCAGATGGTAACACATCACACACTCCTGTCCAGTGTCAGCAGAAGTGCAGTGGAGAGTATGGCTGTCAAGCACCCTCTTCCGTTCCATCTGAGTTGACCCTAGGCTTGTACCCAGCTCAGTGCAACACATCACTGACCATGTTCCCCTACTAGCACGGCTTCATTAGAAGATGGACAAAACAGATTTAAATAACAGAGCAGAGTACATAAAACCCCAAATGTCCAGGATGCAACTGGAAAACATCATACCAAGACTAAATAAAATCTCCACATGAGTGAAAAAAAAAAATACATCAAGAGATGTGTCACATAATTCCAAACAGTTAAGCTATCTGACAAGAAGGTATAAGTTAACATCATAAAAATGCTCCCTTAGCCAGTAAGTTCATGTGAAAGAACACAAGAGGAAGGTTGGCGTGAAGTCTCAGTGCCCAAATCCTCACGTTGCACGTGCCAGGATCCCATATGGGTGCTGGTTCGTGTCCTGGCTGCTCTACTTTCCATCCAGTTCCCTGCATACAGCCTGGGAAAGCAGTTGAGCATGGCCCAAAGCCTTCAGGCTCTGCACCCGCGTGGGAGGCCTGGCAGAAACTCCTGGCTTCAGACTGGCTCAGCTCTGGCCATGGCGGCCACTAGGGTAGTGAACCAGTGGAAGGAGGAACTTCTCTCGGTCTCTCCTCTCCATAAATCTGATCAGCCTTTCCAATAAAAATTTAAAAAAAAATCTGTCTCCCTTCCTTTCAAATGAAAAGAAACTTAAAAACAAAAAAGGGATAACATTTTTTAAAAAATATTATAAAGAGGAAAGGGTAAAAAGACTTAAATGGAAGTAGATGCTAAACTTTACCCAAAATGGTGTAACACTGATACAAGTAGACTGCAAAAATCTGTACTTACATAATATAATGCTTAGAATAACCCCTAAAAAAGCTACAAAGAAACATACTGAAAAACACTACAGAAAAAAATTAGAAATCTGTATAATGTACACATGAAGTCTAAACAAGTTGGGCCCAGTGCAATAGCCTAGCAGCTAAAGTCTTCACCTTGCATGCACTGAGATCCCATACAGATCCCAATTCTAATCCTGGTGGCCCCGCTTCCCGTCCAGCTCCCTGCTTGTGGCCTGGGAAAGCAGTCAAGCATGGTCCAAGCCCTGGGACCCTGTACCCACATGCGAGACCTAAAGGAGGCTCCAGGATCCTGGCTCTTGATGGACTCAACTTTGGCTATTGCGGCCACTTGCGGGGAGTGAACCAGCAGATGGAAGATCTTTCTCTCTGTCTCTTTTCTCTGTAGATCTGCCTTTCCAATGAAAACAGATAACTTAAAAAAAAAAAAGTAAAAAAAAAAAGAAAAGTGAACTGATTGTCGATTTCTCTGACGCTCTTTAACTCTTTCCAGTAAATAAATAGACGTGAAAAAGAAGGCTTATCAGCCCTCCAGGAACTCCCCTGGGCATGCATTCCTTAACCCTTTGTTTCATGTACATACAGATATATACACATGCATTTTAACTTTCTTTTTACAAACTGGATATTCTAGCAGTGTGCATCTGATGTAGCAGTTACAATGCTGCATGCGGCACCCACATCTCATATTGGAGTGCCTGGGATCAAGTCCGGCTCTCCCTCAGCTTCCTGCTACAGTGTGCGGGGGAGGAAGTGGGTGAGGACTCTAGTGTTCAGGCCCCTGTACTGAGTTCCCAGCTCCTCTGCCTTTGTGAGCATTTGGGTAGTGAACCAGTAGAGGAAAAATCTCTCCCTCTCCACCTTTCATACAAAAGGAAAATTAATTTTTTCAAAATTGGATAACTGGTATCCTGTCTGCAGCATACCTTTTTTTTCAACTCAATGACATAATAGGTTTCATATCTGAAATGCTTGCAATCAGAAGTGTTCAGATTTGGGATTTTTTTTTTCAGAATCTGGAATATTTACAAATACATAATGAGATATTTTGTGAATGGAACAAGAAATTCATTTATGTTTAGTACAAAACCTTATACCCACAGCATGAAAGTGAGTGTACACAATATGCCTAGTGTACCTGTGTTTTGACTGTCACCTATCTCATGATGTCATGTTAATATCACAAAGTCCTAAACTTCAGAATATTCTGGATTTTCAGTTTAGGGATGTTAGGTCTGTCCTGCTGACATCGTTCCCAACTGGAGACGGATACAGTTATACACAGCCATCATTAAGTGCTAATTATAATGTTCTCAAAAACACGTTATTACTTGATAACATAAGTTGATTGGAGTTACAAAAGCCTACAGTGCTCAGTATTGAGAGAAGAGCCATGATAATGTTAACAGCAGAAAGAACTCTCAGAACAGGAAAACCACAAGACAGTTGAAATTGGTGCACGAACAGTTAAAGGAACAAAAATGTGTAAGCACAACCATATTTTCTAGTTTTTTTCTTTTTTAAAATGAGCACTGCAATTAGATGAATGAAAATATTAATATTCTACCATTGCGTGCCTCCCCCTAACACACACACACACACACACACACGGATTTGGGGGGGGAGAATTAGGCTAATTCAAGCACTTAGTTTCAGGAAATACTCACAGCTGTTTCTCCTTTTGGGAGATTTGTTTCTGCAGACTGTCGGATTTACTCAGACACTCTTGCAGGTATTTCTCATCTTCCTCTTCAGCTTCCATTTTCGCCTTCTCTGTTTGCTGCAATCTGGTGTAATTCAAATCAACTTTGGGTAAAACTGAGGCTAGAACTAGGGTGTAAAAGGGTGAAGAAGACAAATAAAAGAAAAATGGGGAAATAGAAACATTTCTAAATGAAAACAAAGTTTGGGGGGAAACTCACAAACTCAAACGTGAAAGAGCCACACAATGTCTAGAAACTGTTTAGTGATTTTTTTTTCCAACATAACACATATAATATGCCCAAAATACTATCTTCAAATTTGGTTTATTTCTCTTTTATAATTAACAATGGGAAAGTAATACAGCCTTTACCACTTAGGTAGAACATAATGAAATCAAATTTCAAAGTATGTTATGGCCTTTATACAAAACCATGAAAATCAAAGTCCTGATGTCTATGCTAGGTGGAAAAGCCACACTGTCGTGTTGTGCTGGGATGTGTCTGCCAGGAATCAAGTGTGCTACAAGGCCAAGAGCAAAGACCTGCAATTACTCTGATGATAGCCGAGTCCCTCCTACAGGATCTTTGTGCATTTACTAAACTAAGACAAAGCTGTGCGACAGCTGGGGGTGTGGACACAGGTGTTTTTATCAAAGTCAAAAATGAATGTAGCACTAGTTGGCGTCATTCCCTATAGAGTGCTCTTGTTCCTCCAACTGACTATTAAAAATCAACTAAAATGTAATTTTCGTTCTTCCTAATTTTATTTGTAAGCTATTGCTTCTCTCTGTGCCTAGTTGTACTTCCTGCCTCCTTAGGCCATCTAGGAGTTATTAACTTTCACATTTTTATAAGAAAATACCTCCAAAGATTCAAGGACATTATCTCCTTTTTGGGAATCACAAATTTCTGCTCAACAAAAAAAAAATAAATAAATAAGAAAAAACTGGCTACTTTCTTCCATACCAATAGGGCAATTCTCACACGTTTTAGGAACAGAAATGCTGTTTCTAAAAAGATGGAAGAGTAGCTTTTCAATTATCTCTCAGTTAAAATTTACATTTAAATGTCAGGGTGGTGGAGATGCTTTTCTCTGAAGTTAGAAGAACGCAGAATAAAGTCAGGGTGAGGTAGGCCTTGGAGTTGTGCTATCAGAGAGAGGGCAGAGAGGGACTGGCAGTGCCGCTAAAGCACAGGAGGGTGGCCGGTGTGGGCTATGCACAAAGCAGCAAGGGAGTCCTGAGGCCAGCAGTGGGCCAATGGGGAAAACAAAAATCCGTGCCAACACGTTGTGAAACTAAAAGTTAACTGCTTTTTAAACAATGTTTATGTTTTAATTCAAAAAAGTTGCTAGAAAGATAAAACTGCATTTGAAAATGCTGACCGCTTCTCCCACCCACAAGGGGCAGTACTCCAATCAGCCCTCGTGCACACGGTTGGAGGAGTGTATTTTTGGAAAACCAGGTGCACCCACTCTGCTGGACAACACCCAGCAGCCAACTGAGACAGCACAGGGCTCTTGATACTGTTTGACTTAATAGCATACATTTCTTTTTCAATTAAATATATTTTAAAACTGTTGATTCTCTTTTAGTCTGGTTAAATAAGTGGTTTTCAGAAAGAGATATCTTTGACCAGCTTGTACTGGTCCTGAGTGTCACTGTTGGCACATTTCACCAATGACATTGCAATTGTCCTAGTTTGAGTTAACAAGTCACTGTCACTTCATAATGGAATGGACAGAAATCAAAGACAGAAAAAGGTAATAAGGATGTCCAAAATGTAAAAATGGGGATAAAGAAAAACAGAAAAGAAAAAAAAAGAAGAAAGAGGATGTCAATAAAAGAATATTCATGTCCATAAAGCATTAATAGTTATGTTTTTCATAAGTAGATTCAAAGAAAGCAATGATAAGACATATGTTGACACCAACATGACAGGGCAATGGAAATACATTACATTTTCCAACAATAAAAGTGAAAAATGCTAATATAAACCAATTCAATTTAAACAAAATTGTATCTTGGGTTGGGTTGAGGGTCTGAGTTCAAAAAAAAAAAAAACTAAACTATCAATTTGGAATGCTTGACCTCAGATAAGGAGATGGTGAATGGCAGATATGACAATTAATGTGCATGGGAATCAATCAGGGATAATCCCATCATGGGTTTTGTTCATTTTTAGTTTTTTCAAGGTTTTTTGCTTGTGTATTTGTTTTATACAGTAGGTTGCACCACATAAAACTGCTGATCTTAGGCTTTTTCTAAAAAAAAAAAAAGGATGGCAACTTCCAATCAACAGGCAACTTGATTCCATGCAACAACCAAAACAAAAGGCAAACTCCTGCTGGGCTTCAACAGAAAACATGCTCTAATTTATATTTTCCCACCGGCTTCTGTGGCAGGTGTCAGAGCCAAACAAACAAAAAAAGAGGAAGAAGGGAGGAAAAAAGAAACTAAGATTGGAAGTGCTGTACCTCTGTTCCAGCTGCCTCATGGCTGCAGTGATTTTATTGGTTTTTTCTTCTAGTCGGGCAATTATTTCATTTTTTTCTTTCAATCCATCTTCAGAGCCCTATTTACAAAAGCATAAGAAAATAGTGGTGTTCATTTTAAAACTTATATTTTACTGGGAAGGGAAACGGAGGGAAAGGGAAAAACTTTATTTTACTTATTTTGAAAGGCATAGTTAGAAATGAGGAGACAGATACACTTTCAGACAATGGCTAGCACTAGGCCAGGCTGATGCCAGGAGCCAGGAGCTTCACCCTGGTCTCCCATGTGGGCAGAAGGGGCCGAAACACTTGGGCCATCGCTTGCTGCTTTTCCCAGGACATAAATGGGGAAATGGATGGGAAGTGGAGCAGGTGGAACACAAACCAGTGGCAACATTACCTGCTTTGCAACAATGCTGCACACACATTATATTTTGAGAGACAGAATACTCCCATTCACCATTCAATCTCAAGTGCTCCCAGGGGCTGAGAGTGGACTAGAGCTAGAAGTCAGAAACCCAGACTGGGTCTCCCATGTGGGCAGCAGTAACCCAATTACTCACTGCCCTGACTGCTGCGTCCCAGGGTCTGTAACAGCAGGAAGCCAGGGTGGGACACAGGAACCTTTACCAGTGTCCTAATCATTTGGCTGAAGACCTGCTCAATTTTTTTTTAAAGATTTATTTTATTTTTATGGAAAGTCAGATATACAAAGGAGGAGAGACACAGAAGACCTTATGACTGCTGATTCACTCTCCAAGTGGCCACAACAGCCAGAGCTATGCTGATCCGAATACAGAAGCCTAAAAATTCTTTCCAGGTCCCATGTGGGTGCAGGATCCCAAAGCTTTCAGCCGTCCTTGACTGCTTTCCCAGGCCACAAGCAGGGAGCTGGATGGGAAGCTGGGTGGCCAGGATATGAACCAGTGCCCATATGGGATCCCAGCACATGTAAGGTGAAGACTTTAGCTGCTAGGTTACCGTGCTGGGCGCAGACCTACTCAATTTTAATTTTTTAAATGATTCATTTATTTGAAAAGGCAGAGTTAGAAAGGGAGAGACTAAGGGAGAGCTTGTAACTACTGGTTCACTACCCAAATGGCTGCAACGACTGGGGATGGACCAGGCCAAAGCCTGGAGCCGGGAGTTGCAGGGCCTCCGTGTGAGTGCAGCAGTTCAAGCACTTAGGTCATCTTCTGCTGACTTCCTAGGTGCATTAGTAAGGAGACGGACTGGAAATGGAGCAGCCAGGACTCGAACTGAAGCCCGTAAGGGATGTGGATGCTGCAATCAGTGGCTTAACCGTGTGCCACAGTGCCAGCCCCAAATTTTGATTTTTGAATCAGGATATTTTAAGTTTTTTATACCATTTTGCCATGAGATTATGACTTTGAAATGCGAAAAAATGACCATATTAAAAAATTATTTTATATAAAACAGTGCTACTAGTCTTCATTTAAAATGCAATAAGCAGAAAAAGTTGAATGTCTATAGAAGACAACAGAAAAAATTTTTATAAAATAAGCCATTTTCAAATTGAGTAAATTGTAAAGGTATTTTGGCAGCAAACCTATTTAACAGCAGCATCATTTTATTAGAAATTTCAGTTATGAGGGGCCCGGCGGCATGGCCTAGCAGCTAAAGTCCTCTCCTTGAACACCCCGGGATCCCATATGAGCGCCGGTTCTAATCCCGGCAGCTCCACTTCCCATCCAGCTCCCTGCCTGTGGCCTGGGAAAGCAGTTGAAGACAGCCCAAGGCCTTGGGTCCCTGCACCTGTGTGGGAGACCCAGAAGAGGCTCCTGGATCCTGGCTTCAGATTGGCACAGCACCGGCCGTTGCAGTCACTTGGGGAGTGAATCATCGGACAGAAGATCTTCCTCTCTGTCTCTCCTCCTCTCTGCACATCTGACTTTGTAATAAAAATGAATAAATCTTTAAAAAAAAAAAAGAAATTTCAGTTGTGATAGTGAAACATTTCAACCAAAATTCAATGTTTCTCAAGAATACACTGTATGAAGAACGACCCAAAAGTGTCTTACTTGCTTACATTCAGATTTTTCATACAAGATTCAACCTTTGCACTGTTAACTCCTCAGAGTTAGGAAACAGATTAAAGCAAGGGATTCTTTTGCCTGCTCTTTGTTTTTTGTTTTTTTTTTTAACTACTTCTGGGCCCAGGGCAAAAGCCTAGTGGCTAAAGTCCTCACCCTGCCTGTACCGGGATGCCATATGGGTGCCAGTTTGTATACCAGCTACTCCACTTCCTGTGAGGTCCCTGCTTGTAGTCTGGGAAAGCAGTCAAGGACAGCTTAAAGCCTTGGAATCCTGTACCCCTGTGGGAGACCCAGAAGAGGCTCCTGGCTCCTGGCTTCAGACTGGCTCAGCTCTGGCCATTGCTGCCACCTGAGGAGTGAACTGGTGGTTGGAAGAGCTTTCTCTCTGTCTCTCCTCCTCTCTGTAAATCTACTTTCCAATAAAATTAAATAAATTCTTTTAAAAATTTTATTTTTGCTTGTATTTACTATTTGTAACTGAAACATTAAAGATGTACACGTGGGCCTGGCATGATAGCCTAGAGTATAAATTCTTCCTTGCATCTGCTGAGATCCCATATGGGTGCAGATTGTGTCCTGGCTGACCAGTTCCAAACAAGCTCCTTGCTTGTGGCCTGGGAAAGCAAGGATGGCCCAAGGCCTTGGGACCCTGAACTCACTCAGGAGACCAGGAAGAGGCTCCTGGTTCCTGGTTTTAGATCAGCTTAGCTCTATCCATTGCGGCCACTTGGGGAGTGAATCAACATAGAGAAGATCTCTTTCTCTGTCTCTCCTTCTCTCTGTAAATCTGGCTTTCCAATAAAAATTAAAAAACAAATCTTAAAGAAAAATGTACACATGTGCAAGGTACCACGTGAGAATCCACATATTTATGCACTGTATTATATTTTGTAAACCTTCCATTTAGACAAATACACACTGGCTCTTATAACAGCATAGTTAAAATTGGTTCATCTCTTAAAAATAAAAGATTTTTCTCTTCTTACAAACACTTCACTTTCTAAAACATAAAAATAATTACAACAATGAGAACATGCCTTACCTGCAACTTTTGATACATCTCTATGTTAATTGCTTTAACTTCCTCGAGTTGCTGTCGAAGGCCTATCAAGGTATCCTGTTTCTCATGGATATCTTTCTCCAACAACTTCATAGCAAGTTCAATCTCATGTTTCATGTTTACTTGTACCGCTAGCTCGTTCTCCACATCCTGCAAATTCAACGACTCCTCAGATCACATGCCACTTTTCACGTTATCAAAATCAGACACATTACAGTTGATGAGATTAATCAAGATTTCCCTTTCTTTACTCTTTTTAAGTTAACCAAAGAGAAGCAACCAGAATCAACAGAATATATTAAGTATTTTAAATGTGTGTGATTTTTTTGCTAAGATGAAAGCATTTTCTATATTGTTATCCATCTACTCAACTTTTTCATGAACTGAAGAATTTCTTAAAAGATTTAATTTTTTTTATCTGAAAGGCAGATGTACAGAGAGAAGGAGGGAGAGAGAGAAGGTCTTGCATCTGCTGCTTTACTTTCAAAATAACAACAGGTAGAGCTGAGGTGATCTGAACCCTGTGGCTAGGAAGCTTTTTCCAGGTCTGCCACACAGGTCCAGGATTCCTAGGACTTGTGTCATTTTCACTGTTTTCCCAGGCGATAAGCAGAGAGCTGGACTGGAAGTGGTGCAGCTGCAACATGAACTGGTACCCATATGGGATGCCGGTGCCACAGGGAGGAGGATTAGTCTGCTGCACCACCATACTAACAAACCTCATGAATTATTTTCCTTTAAACAAAAGGAAATTGATTAGCCTGTTTGGGCATAGTCCAGTTCTGGCTATTGAGGGCATCTAGGGAGTGAGTCACAGCTGGAGGCTCTATCCATCTATCTCTGCCTTTTAAATAAATCAAATAAAATTCATTAGTTTTTTTTTTTTAAAGAATTCTGGCAGAAGGACTGAAGATGCTTTCTAACGTTAAAGACAAACAGCAATGGGCACCCCTTCTTGACCTGGGTTTTTACGACCACAAGAATTCAGTCAGCTATACATTTGTACATTTCTATATTGCATTTTACCATTTTAAAAAGTTAACTTTTTAACAGAAATATGATTTTAAATATTTAATATTTTAATACATCCTTATAGTTCATTCCGTATTTTTATAATGCCAGTTCCAACCCATTCTGGTCATAACCATAGATTAGTTTTTTTTAAAGATTTATTTATTTTTATTACAAAGTCAGATATACAGAGAGGAAAGAGAGGCACAGAGGAAGATCTTCTGTCTGATGATTCACTCCCCAAGTGGCCGCAACAGTCGGTGCTGCGCCGATCCGAAGCCGGGAACCAAGAACCTCCTCTGGGTCTTCCACACAGGTGCAAGGTCCCAAGGCTTTGGGCCGTCCTTGACTGCTTTCCCAGGCCACAAGCAGGGAGCTGAATGGGGAGTGGAGCTGCTGGGATTATAACCGGCACCCATATGGGATCCTGGCGTGTTCAAGACGAGGACTTTAGCTGCTAGGCCACGCTGCTGGGCCCCGATCACAACCATAGATTGTTATCCACAGTTTAAAAACACTGCTATGGGGACCAGCATTGTGGCTTAAGTAGGTAAAGCCACAACCTGTCAGTATTTCATATAAATTCTGATATATACTGGCTGCTCCACTTCTGATCCAGTGCACTGCCAGTGGTCAAGGGAGGCAGCCAAGCATGGCCCAAATGCTTGGGCCATGCAACCACATGCGAGACGTGGATGAAGCTCCTGGTCCTCGGGGGAGGAAGTCAGCAGATAGAGGAATTCTCTTACTGTAATTCTGATGTTTGAAATAAAGAAACCTTTTGGCCCAACAGCATGGCCTAGCAGCTAAAGTCTTCGCCTTGAACACGCCAGGATCCCATATGGGCGCCAGTTCTAATCCCAGCAGCTCCATTTCCCATTCAGCTCCCTCCCTATGGCCTGGGAGAGCAGTCGAGGATGGCCCAAAGCCTTGGGACCCTGCACGCACATGGGAGACCTGGAGGAAGTTCCTGGTTCCCGGCTTCGGATCAGCACAGCACTGACCGTTGCAGTCACTTGGGGAGTGAATCATCGGACGGAAGATCTTCCTCTCTGTCTCTCCTCCTCTCTGTATATCTGACTTTGTAATAAAAATAAATAAATCTTAAAAGAAAAAAAAAGAAATAAACAAATCTTAGTGAAACAATTAAAAAAATATGTTATACAGGCAGGCACATTAAGCTGTTCCCTGTGATATTGGCATCCCAAATCAAATTGCCAGTTCACATCCTGACCACTTCACTTCCAATCTAGCTCCCTGTCAATGCATCTGCGAGCAGCAGCTAACAGTCCAAGCATCCTGGTCCTTTGCTATCCACAATGGAGATTCAGCTGGAATTCTGGGGTCCTGCCTTTGGACCCCAGTCCCTGCGGCTGAGACCATCTGGGCAGTGAACCAGCAGATGGAACATCTCTCTCTCCTTCCCTTTCTCCCTCTTGTCTCCCTCTGTGTCATATAAATAACTTTTTCAGAAAATGATATGGTGGTACTTAATTTGAGAGGCTTAAGGGCATGAGTTTGGCAGCTAACAGAGATATTCAATTGTGTGTGATTGGGAATAATTTGTTCCTAGGTTTTGCTATTTAACTCATGAAACCAACCTGCCGTAATTGAGATTCATCCCGCAGCTGTCTTCTGGCTTCATTGTACATTTCATCCAGCCCCTGCCGGGAATGCTTATACGTCTGAACTTCAGTTTCCACATCCACTTTTGTTACCTAGAAAAAAAGCAGAACATTTTTTTCCCATGATATCTATTTTACTTGTATTAAAAAGTGATTCACAGAAATGGATTGGCTACACAAATATATTTTGCTTCTTTTACAATTACATTAAGAACTGTCATATGGGGCCTGGCGGCGTGGCCTAGTGGCTAAAGTTCTTGCCTGGGAATGCACCAGGATCCCATATGAGCGCCGGTTCTAATCCCAGCAGCTTCACTTCCCATCCAGCTCCCTGCTTGTGGCCCAAGAAAGCAGTCGAGGATGGCCCAATGCTTTGGGACCCTGCACCTGCGTGGGAGACCCAGAAGAGGTTCCTGGATCCTGGCTTCGGATTGGCATGGCATCGGCCGTTGCGCTCACTTGGGGAGTGAATCATTGGACAGAAGATCTTCCTCTCTGTCTCTCCTCCTCTCTGTATACCTGACTTTGTAATAAAAATAAATAAATCATAAAAAAAGAAAGAACTGTCATATGGATAATCACTATATATGAAATATATTTGTAATGCATAAATAATAATAATACAGCCAATACTCATTTAACTTTTACTCAATTTAAGAAATGAAGCATTACCTCTCAGTGTGCCATTTCTTTTTTTTTTTCTAAAGATTTATTTTTCTTGAAAGGTGGATATACAGAGAGGAGAGACAGACAGGAAGATCTTCCGTCCAATGATTTACTCCCCAAGTGAGCGCAACGGCCGATACTATGCTGATCCAAAGCCAGGAGCCTCTTCCAGGTCTCCCACGCGGGTGCAGGGTCCCAAAGCTTTGGCCGTCCTCAACTGCTTTCCCGGGCCACAGGCAGGGAGCTGGATGGGAAGCGGGGCTGCTGGGATTAGAACCGGCGCCCATATGGGATCCTGGGCGTGCAAGGCGAGGACCTTAACCACTTGCGCCACCGTGCCGGGCCTTTCTTCCTTTTTTTTTAAACTTTTATTATTATTATCATTTTATGAAACATTTCCATAAGCCCTGGGATTTTTCTTACCCCTTCCCAAAATTCCTTTCCCCCTTTTCTGAGTTCCTCTATATTATTAATATAGTATAGTTCTTCATAAACAGTCTTATGTCTATCATTGCAGGCATGGACAATGGCAGAGACTCCAGTATTCTATTGTCAAGATATAATTAACAGTTTATTGGTAGTCCATCTTTGATCTGGAAGTAGAGATGCATATCGCATTGCATCCTCACATATGGATATGATAGTCTCCATTACACAGCTACCATACCTTCCTTTAAATGAAAAGCCACAACACAAGATCAACAACAGGAAGAAAAACAGAAATTTTGAAAATGAAAAGCCAGAGAGAAAGACGATGACTCACAAGTGAGCGCAAGATACTATGCCGATCCGAAGCCAGGAAGGAAAGGCCACAGGCAGCTGGAAAAGCGGGGCTGCCGGGATTAGAACCGGCGCCCATATGGGATCCCGGGCGTGCAAGGTGAGGACCTTTTAACCACTTGCGCCACCGCTCCGGGCCCTCCCAAGCGGTTTTGATAGTTCAACAGTCCTGAATTGTTGTCGATCCCACCACTCCAATTGTGATGAGATCTCTCCAGAATCCACTGGCTGCTATGGTCCAACTTATAGTTTCCATCTGCCCTGATATTCACTGCCAATGCTTGGTTGGAGTAGTTGATCAATTTGTTCTGTCCTCCATCCTCTACCATGGTACCAGGTGTCCTCTGGAGGCTCCAATGTACTGCCATATCTTCCATGTACATTTGGATATGCTGTCCACTGCTCCATCTGAGCCATTTAGGAGGCCCAGCTCTGACACATGCACTCCACAGTCAGACCATGGAACCTGCAATTCTCTCCATGGTTGGAGTTCCAAATCCACCAGTTCAGTTGGCAGGGAATCAACAAACAAATCTCATCTGAGAACATTCCAGACCTGATTCTTGTGTATATTTGACAATACAGGGTCTGGCACAGTCTGGCACCCAAATCAGCCTAAGCACACACTAGTGGTTGGAATTGCTAGGTCAGTTCTGTTTCTAGTCCCTTGTTTTATGAAAACCAAAGGGTATTGTAGCCCAGCCCGATCCTGTTCACCACATACCCAGCCCTCACACAAACCAGTGGGAGCTATAGGCTAATCAGAGCGACCAGCAATAAGCCCCTCCAGACCTGCCCCCTACCTTGGTTTCTGTGCTTGCCAGTATGTACAGTTGACTGGTCCCATCTTGTCCCTTATCCCATTTAGCTCTTGTACATGTCAATGGGCACTGAAGCCCAATTCATCCCAACCAGCCCGACTAGCCAGTCCACACTGGTATCAGCAGGTACCATCATCTGTCTACCTGACAAGAATTTGCCCCTCTTGCCTGTATCTGCCAGCTGATGCTGCAGCAAAGGCCAAACCACCCACACTCACTCTGGCTTATGTATGTACCAGGAAGTACAGTCAGCCCAGCCTTGCCTTCCCCTGAATATCAGATGCTATGGCCTGCTTGGCCTGGTCTGCCCCCATCCCAGCTCTCATGCTTACCAGTGGGAGTAGTGTCCCCACAGCACCCCCCACAGGGTCCATCCCCACCCCTGAGTATCACATGTGCTGGTTGGGTGTTGTGGTCCAGTCTGGCACAGCATACTCCACCTCAGCATTTGCTAGTGGGTGCTATAGCCTGGCTGGGCCTGGCCCACCCCCAATTCCAGCTCACACTGGTGAAGGTTACAACACAGCCAGCCCAGCCAGACCCCAGTCCTGGCCCTAATGTGGACTGGCTGGAATTATGTCCCGAACTGGCCCAATCCACACTCCATTCTGATGCTTGGATTCTCCAGCGGGTGATGTGAACGGATGCAGCCTGGCCCACTCCCAACCTATGCCAAATATATGGCTCTGGGTACCTTTCTCTGACCTGGTCTGGGCTGCTCCCCATCTTGGTTCTTGCATTCACCTGCAGGGAGTATGTCCCAACAGAGGAGTTCCACAGCTCCTCCATCAGGATCTCTCCCAATGCCAGATCTCGCATACACCAGTGGGTCCATGGTCCACCCCTACTTACTCCACCTCCTGTCCGATCAGGAACAGTAGCTGTTCTTGACCAACCCTTACCCATTCGGTTCTTGTTCTTGGGTATTACATCCCAGCCAAGCCTGGTCCACACCCAGACACAGCTTACACATGGCTCAGCAGGGGCAGAGACCTAGCCTAGCCCGTCCTACACCCTCCCTGGTTCTCACAAGCACCAGTGGGTGTTGGAGTCTAACCCAGTCTGGCACACCCCAGACCCAGCCCACACCCATGCCAAGGTACCCTGCAGCCATATCCAGACCAGACCACAGCCCTCACCCTGGCCCTCATGCTCACCAATGGGAATCACTCCCTGGCCAGGGTATCCCCTTAGCTCCCCAACCAGACCTGTTCCCAGCCACAGATCTTGTGCATGCCAGTGGTTGCTCTGACCTAGCCTGGCATATCCCCTCATCCGTCTTAGCCTTTGCCTTCAGATGCTACAGCCTGGCCTGGCCCAGCCAGCCCCAGTCCCAACTCTCACTGGTGGGTGCTGCAATCTGGCCCTGCTCAGTCTGCTCCCATCCCTGGCTCATTTAAACCAGTAGGTGTGACACCCTGACCTGGTATAACCTGCATTCCAGCCTGGTTTCTGCATTTGCCACTGGGCTAAGGTCCTCCCCATTCCAAAACCAACCCACACACTTGCCAAAGGATGGGGCTACTTTGCCCAGCCTGTCTGACCCCTAGTATTGGACAATGTGTGTACCAGTAGGCACTACTACCCTGTAGGGGAGTTTCCCAGGTTCCCCCACTCAGTCTACTCCCAGACCTAGATCTTAACATGCACCAGCAGGTGCCAGGCTCTTGCCCAGCATAGCCTGTGCCTCCATATTGGCCTTTGTATGACCTGCTGGATTTTGCAGGCCACCCCGCCCCACACTGTTTTAAGATGCACATTCAAGTGTTGTAGCTTGGACCTGCCCAGCCTATTCTCAGCCCCAGTACCTGTGAGTGTTGGCGGGTTCCATGTTCACACCTAGTTCAGCCCATCACCATCCCAACTCTTGAGCTAACCAGTGGGACTTGTATTTCCACAGGGTTGGGCCACTTATCCCCTGTGGATTCTACCACCAGACCTGGTTCTCTCGTGTGCTGGTTAGTATCATGGCCCTGCCTAATGTGACCCGTCCCCTGTTCCAACACTCAGTCAGGTACTGGGATCTAGCTCTGCTAGACAGGACCCCAGCCATAGCTTTCATGTGGGGTGGCATGTGCCAGTAAGCGACGCTCTGGGCTAAGCCCACCTGAGGACTCCCATGTGGGCTGGTGAATCAGTCTGACCCATACAAATCTTCAAATATCTCAGCTCAAAACTACCAGTTCTCAGTCCCCTCGCTTACCTGCAAATACAGTAGCTTTGTCATTGAGTGTCCCTCATGATTCATTCCTCACCTACATGTACAGTGGCCTTATCCATGGATGTCTATAGGCAGTAATTGATAACACCAAAACCCCAGAGCTCACCAGTGGGCAGAGCTCAGCTCCACTTGGTATGCTGGCTGCCAACAAGCCCAGGACCCTCCCCCGACCCAGGAGTAGTAAATGAAGAGCTAGGGTCCCCAGTAGGCAGCCTGGCATGGCACAGACTCTCCCAGCCACAGTCACATGGCCAGGAGAGTAAGGTACCCTCTATGCAGCTCAGACTACCTGGGCTCCACCCACCAAGATGGCCAAAGCATAATATTTTTTATTACGAATATAGTACAAAAATAACTATCTACGCAAAACATCCCTAAAACATATCATTTCTGATACAACAGAAAGCAATCTATACTTACCTCTAGATGCTGCTGTGTTTTCATTAAAATCAACTTATTTTCACTTCGTAGTTGATGATTCTCTTCTTGGAGTTTAATGATGTTATTCTTTGCAATTGCTAACTAAAAATTATGTAATGGGGCAAGAAAAAAAAAAGATTTGAGACAGCCTTATTTATACATGCTTTGCAGGCAATTGTTCACTACCATAAAAGAGAGAAAATAATTTAGCTACTAAATTTCCCACTTTTATTGAAAAAAGGCATTCCTTATTACCCCAAAATTACCAGTTAACAAATCATATTCTCAATTACTTTTGTACTGGTCCAATTATTTTCTTTTGTAGTTGAAGCATTATATGTTTATTTGTTATGCTTTTAATACATGTGTTTTGTCTGATTTACAGTATGCCCTGAACACAAAGTATCTGAATAAGCCAACAAAGAATCGTGTATTATACCACAACACCATAAAGACTTGTTTAAAAGATTAAAAAAAACAGGGCCTAGCGCCATGGGCTACCAGCTTAAGTCCTCGCCTTGAACACGCCAGGTTCCCATATGTGTGCCAGTTCTAATCCTGGCAACCCAGGTTCCCATCCAGCTCCCTGCTTATTGCCTGGGAATGCAGTTGAGGATGGCCAAGAGCCTTGGGACCCTGCACCTGCATGGGAGACCCAGAGGAAGCTCCTGGCTCCTGGCTTCAAATTGGCTCAGATCCAGCCATTGCAGTCACTTGGGGAGTGAATCAATGGATGGAAGATCTTCCTCTCTGTCTCCCTTCCTCTCTGTATATCTGACTTTGCAATAGAAATAAATAAATCTTAAAAAAAAAGAAAGAAAGAAAGAAAGAAAGAATTAAAAAAATATATAGGGAAGTTTGTCTAAAGCATGTTTGGTTTCAATAAAACAACAGCCATCAAGGGCATCTGAGTCGTACATCCTAAGCACAGCCCAAGCATGGTTCTACTGAAAATGGACAAGGATCACAAACAGTAGGTCCATGGAAGACACACAGCCATTACTGGGCGACAATACCTCTTCAATCAGCTTCGTATTTGACTTTTCCAGTGAGTCAACTCTGGAATGAAGGCTGCTGACTGTGCTGCTGAAATTAACAGAGAAAACAATTCATTCAAAATCAATGCAACTGACAAGAGCGAGACAGCCTACGTTACTTCGCGCTCACGATGCTGATGAACATAAACTAATCCCTGGGTCTCACTTCTGAGTGCGGGGAATTCCACCAACCTGGTGACCTGCCACGGCTGGGAAAGCACTGAAGACTATAGCAGGAGAATCAATATGTCAATGAATTTTCCTTTAGGTGCTGACCATTAACTTGTATGGTCTCCTTAGAGTTCTTGCTTCATTTAACTTAGATTTGAATACAGAAATTTCACACAAAGATTCCTAAATATTGTTAAAATTCTACTTTAAATCATTTTTGAAAGTTGAACTTCACACACTCACTTTATAATTACATAGCTTTAATCAAGCATATATCCAACAATGTGCAGTTCAAGATTGAGTCTATTTTCCCCTTCTATTTCCACACCTTGGAGATTGTTCAACTCGCCCATGATTTGAAAAATATGAATATGAGATACCCGATCACCTTTCTGTTAACACTCTCTCTTTTAAGCATATAGACAGAAACTATGTTATACCAAATGAACACACTTGTTTTTTGCATTGTTAAGTAGAACATGAATGGATACTATGCTGGAATTTACTAAACTGTACATCAAGGGGCACAGCCATTGTGGCACGTAGGTAAGCTGCTGCTGCGATGCCCACATCCCATACAGAGAGCAGATGTGGGTCCTTGCTATCCTGCCTTGCTATCTCTATGCTCAAAGTATGGCTGCTATGACTCACATGTGGCTACCAAGATTGTAAATCATGCCTAACATGACTTGGAATGTGATATAAATGTAAATGATTGAGATTTTGAAGTAATTGTCATAAAAAGGAATGTAAAATGTCAAAAATCAAATTTTTTTTACTATATTGACATAATACTCAGGGTATATTGGGTTATATAAAACATTATTGAAATGAATGTCTCCCATGAGAATGGCAGGGCCCCAGGTACTAGAGGCATCCCGTGGCTGCTTCCCAGGGCAAGGGGTGCTGGTATGGGAATCCAGGGCAGAGTAGGCACTCCGACAGGGGAGACGTGTGCCCCGAGTGTTGCCTTGACTGTGCCAAATGCCTGTCCTAAACTAGTCTGAAAATCTTGGACATTTTCTCAGCCAGGGCAGTCATTAATGGCTTCAAAGATCAGACAACGTAGAAACTACCACTACTGGTGACAAGGCCACAGTTACAGAGGAGACCCTTTGAAGTAAGAAAATGATTTAAAGATTTTATTTATCTGGGGCCCAGCAGCTTGGTCTAGCAGCTGAAGTGCTTGCCTTGAACACGCTGGGATCCCATATGGGCACCAGTTCTAATCCTGGCAGCCCCGCTTCCCATCCAGCTCCCTGCTTGTGGCCTGGGAAAGCAGTCAAGGAGGACCCAAAGCCTTGGGACCCTGTGCCCTCATGGGAGATCTGGAAGAAGCTTCTGGCTCCTGGCTTCAGATTGGCTCAGCTCCTGCTGTTGTGATCACTTAGTGAGTAAGCAACAGATGGAAGATCTTCCTCTCTGTCTCTCCTCTTCTCTGTATATCTGACTTTGCAATAAAAATAAATGAATCTTAACAAAAAAATCTGAGTCACATCCTGCTGGAAATGAACTATCAGCAGTAAGTCTCTCTATTCTTAATTTTCAGGATCTAGACTCCCAATCACTTCTCAAAGATGCTTGGAAGAACAGACTGGGTCAAGCTGACCTTAAAAGAAAAGTTTAAAAAAAAACATAAACACAATAAGTATCCATGATACTTACTTTAGTTGTCTATTTAATTCTTCAACATAATTCTTTTGATCTAAAATGGCAGCAATTTGCACATTCCTATGGGGAGGGAAAAAGTAGCCAGTTATAAAGTTATCTATTAGTTGCAAAGAAACAAGTAAAAATTATGAAGCAGCACTTCCTTGTTTTTCAAACTAAATTCAAGAATCTTTGTAGGAACTTGGCAAGCAGTAAACTGTGCCAGCTCCAACTTTTATTGAATAAATCACTGGCTCATTTTAAATTTAACACAGTTACATTTTATTTTGAAGATTATTTTGAAAAGGTTACAAAGAGAGAGGGAGAGACAAAGAAAGAGATGTTTCCATCTGCTGTTCATTCCCCAAATGGCTGCCACAGTCGGTAGTGGGCCAGGTGAAATCTAGGAGCCGGGAGCCTTACGCTGATGTCTCGCCTGAGAACAGGGCTCGGACACAAGGCCATCACCCCCGTCAGAGGGAAGGCAGCCAAGACAAGAACTGGCACCTCCAAGGCTTTGCCTGCAATGCCACAGTGCTGCCCCTAATTCATGTACTTGAAAATAATTAAGCTCCAAACTAAATCAGCACTTAAAAGCCTTAAATAAAAAAATTCATCCCTTGTATCACAAAACATGATGACTAAATTACACTATTAAAATGACTCTAAATAAGATCTGATCAAAAGTCCTACTTTATCCTAAACACCTTTTCTTTTAAGTCATTTTTTTGAATTTACTTTAGAAAGGTTGTAAAAAAAATAAATTAAGATTAAAATTAAAACTAAAACTGAAAGTAGGAAACAGAGGAGAAAAAAAAAGAATGGGCTCAGTGCAGTAGCCTAGTAGCTAAAGTCATTGTCTTGCATGTACCATGAGGACGCCATATAAACACTGGTGTGTCCCGGCTGCTCCACTTCCCATTCAGCTCTCTGCTTGTGGCCTGGGAAAGCAGTCGAGGACGGCCCAAAGCCTTGGGACCCAGCATCTGCGTGGGAGACCTGGGGAGAAGCTCCTGGATTCTGGTTTTGGATCGGTTCAGCTCTGGCCATTGTGGCCACTTGAGGAGTGAACCAGCAGATGGAAGATCTTTCTCTCTGTAAATCTGACTTTCCAATAAAATAAATAAATCTAAAAAATATAACCAAAAGATTCATTTACCCGTTATGTAGTTTTTGTTTCCGTTTTTATTTTAAAAATACATTTTAAAATATTTTTTATATTCTCATAAAAAATACATGCAGAATAACTTATGAGAAAAAATGTACCAGGGATAGCACTGTGCCATAGCACATTAAGATACCACCTGCAGTGTGAGTATTCCATATGAGCACTGGTTCAAGTTCTGATGCTCCACTTTGATTTAGCTCCATGTTAATGCACATGGGAAAGTAGCAGAGGCTGGCCTGATTCCTTGGCCCTTGCATCCTTGTGGGAGATCCGAAGAAGCTCCAGGCTCCCAGCTTTGGCCCTGCCCATCCCTGGTCATTGTGGCCAGTAGAGGAGTGAACCAGAAAATGGAAACTCTCTCTCCGTAGCATTAACTTTCAAAAAAATAAACTTTATTTATTTATTTTTAATGTTCATGTAACAACTGGGTTTTTTTTTTTTAAGATTTTATTCTTTTTTATTTGAAAGACAGATATGCAGAGAGGAGGAAAGACACAGAGGAAGATCTTCCGTACGTTAATTCACTCCCCAAGTGAGTGCAACGGCTGGAACTGAGCAGATCCAAAGCCAGGAGCCAGAAGCTTCTTCCGGGTTTCCCACGTGGGTGTAGGGCCCCAAGAATTTAGGCCGTCCTTGACTGCTTTCCCAGGCCATAAGCAGGGAGCTGGATGCGAAGTGAAAGCTGCTGGAATTAGAACCCGTGCCCATACGGGATCCCGGTACGTTCGAGGCAAGGACTTTAGCTGCTAGACCACTGCGCCAGGCCCCCAAAAAATAAATTTTAAAAAGAAAAAAAAAATAAATACCTTTCTTTATTTCCAATATCGTCTTCATTCTTTAGGTACATGGAAAAATCAATCACTCCAACCTGAAGCAAACAAAGTTATTCTTATTTAAAAGGAAGAAGTAACACAGATTAAAGTACCTTAAACACATCAGTGAAATTTCATTCTTAGGTGGCCATTCGTGTTCCACAGCACTGTTGAGAACGGCATCTGAATCGAGCAGGAAACTGCAAACCAAAAGCCAAGGCTCCCAGCAGTCACCGTTCCCACTTACCTGTGAGTCTAAGTCCTCTCCCTTGACACACAGGTTAGCGTCTATCACGTTCAGGCCAACCAGCAGCCCGACAATTACTGCTCCTTCTTCCTCCATCATCAGTGCATGATACTCATAGAACTCACTGCCAAAACCCAAAGAAGAAAAAGCATCAGATTACAAAACTGACTTAGAAAAATTCCACAAAATTAGCAATTTACCATCCTAATCTAACTCTTACAAAAAATCCTGGTAGGACTTTTTAAAAATGTATATATTTATTTATTTTTATTGAAAAGGCAGATTTATAAAGAAGAGAGAGAGAAAAATGTTCCCAAGTGACCAAAACAGCCAGAGCTGAACCAATCTGAAGCCAGGAGCCAGGAGCTTCTTCCCGGTCTCCCCAACAAGTGCAGGTCCCAAGGCTTCTTCTGCCATTCCTTTCCCAGGTCATAAGCAGGGAGCTGGATAGGAAACAAGCACCTGGGACATGAATCAGCACCCATATTTGATCCTGGTACATGCAAGGCAAAGATTTAGCCACTGGGCCACTATGTTGGGCCCATATTTGAATTCTTAATAAATTTTCAATTCTAACATTCATTAAGACTATTAGGATAAAAACTAATATGGAATATAAAAATGAAACATTTCAAAGCTCATGTGCAAGTCAATGTATTTGATTGGCATATTATAAATGTTCTTAAAAGATGGATCACAGGTCCTGGCAACGTGGCTTAGTGGCTAAAGTCCTCGCCTTGAACGCGTCAAGATTCCATATGGGCGCCAGTTTTAATCCCAGCTGCTCCACTTCCCATCCAGCTCCCTGCTTGTGGCCTGGGAAAGCAGTTGAGGACGGCCCAAAGCTTTGGGACCCTGCAAGTGTGTGGGATGCTCGGAAGAAGTTCCTGGATCCTGGCTTTGGATCCGTATAGCATCAGCCGTTGTGCTCACTTGGGGAGTGAATCATCGGACGGAAGATCTTCCTCTCTGTCTCTCCTCCTCTCTGTATATCTGACTTTCCAATAAATAAATAAATCTTTAAAAAAAAAAAAGATAATTAAAAAAAAAAGATGGTTCACAGCCTAGCACGGTAACCTAGTGGCTGAAGTCCTTGCCTTGCATTCCTAAGGATCCCATATGGGCACTGGTTCATTTCCCAGATGCTCCATTTCCATCCAGCTTCCTATTTCTGGCCTGGGAAAGCAGTCAAGGATGGTCTAAAGCCTTGGGAACCTACACCCACAGTTGAGACCCGGAAGAAGCTCTAGGCTCCTAACTTCAGATTGGCTCAGTTCCAGCCATTGCAGTCACTTGGGGAGTGAACCTGTGGACGGAAGCTCTTTCTTTCTATCTCTTCTCTGTCTTTTTAATAAAAATAAATAAATCTTGAAAAAAAGGCTCATTTAAAGACATTTATGAAACAATAAAAAATACAAAAAAATTAAAAATATAAGAAAGAAAAAAAGATAAAGATACTTATGAGTATCTATATTCTATGAAATGTCCAAAAAGACTCATAAAATAAGGTATGTACTCAGCCATATAATTGTTTTTCTTTTTTTTTTTTTAATTTGATTTTATCTTTATTGGAAAGGCAGATATACAGAGAGGAGGAGAGACAGAGAGGAAGATCTTCTGTCCTATGGTTCACTCCCCAGGCGGCCGCAACGGCTGGAGCTGAGCCAATCCGAAGCCAGGAGCCTCTTCCAGGTCTCCCACGTGGGTGCAGGGTCCCAAAGACTTGGGCCATCCTCGACTGCTTTCCCGGGCCATAGGTAGAGAGCTGGATGGGAAACGGCGCGGCCAGGATTAGAACTGGCACCCATATGGGATCCCAGGCGTGCAAGGTGAGGACCTTAACCACTGTGCCATTGCGCCGGACCCATATAATTGTTTTTCTAAAGATTTATTTTTATTTTTATTGTAAAGTCAGATATACAGAGAGGAGGACAGACAGAGAGGAAGATCTTCTACCTGATAATTCACTCCCCAAGCAGCCACAATGGCCAGAGCTGAGCCAATCTGAAACCAGGAACCCGGAGCCTCCTGCAGGTCTCCCATGTGAGTGCAGGGTCCTAAGGCTTTGGGCTGTCCTCAGACAGCTGCTTTCCCAGACCATATAAAGGGAGCTGGATGGGAAGTGAAGAAGCTGGGATATGAACCAGTACCCATATGGAATCCCAGTGCATGCAATGCGACGACTTTAGTGGCTAGGCTCCTGTGCTGGGCGCAAAAAACTGTCTTTTGCAATGAAATGGGCACAACCAGAAACCTTATGCTTAGTGAAATAAGTCAGTCGCAAAAAGATAAATATTATGTTTTCTCTAATTGATGATAACTGATAAAACAGTTTAAAAAAACGTAATCTACAGGAAGATTAACAATTTGAGAACTGGTTACTGTTTACAGTTTTGTATACTCTTAGGAACACCAGGGGCTTGTTCCTACTTTCCAACTATTGAATTCTTTACCTAATGGAGTGTTAAGTTTGTGACTGAGAAGCAAACAAACAAAATGCCTTGCAAAAATTCAAAAAGAAAAAAAGAAGGAAGGCAGACAGAGGAAGGATGGGGAATTTGGAGGACAGGAGGAAGGCAGTCAGTGTGGGAAATACTACTGTGTTCCTAAATCTGCATTGTGAAACGTGAGCTTTGTTCACTTGAGATGTTTTCTCAGGTCATATGCGGGGAGCGGATCGCAAGTGGAGCAGCCGGGACACAAACAGGCGCCTAGACGGGATACTGATGCTTGCAGGCAGAGGATTAACCTGTTAGGAATTATTTATTATTATTCTCAAGAGGAATTTGCTTTTGTTGTTGTTTAGAAATATAAAAGCGAGTCCAGTGGGGTGCCATAGCAAACTAATCCTTTACCTATGGCACCAACATCCCTTAAGGGTGCTACTTTGAGTCCATCTGTCTTATTTCCAACCTAGCTCCCTGCTGGTAACCTAGGAAAGCAGTGGAGGGTGGCCGAAGGCCTTGGGTCCTGGCACCCATGTGAGATCCAGAAGTTCCCAGCCCCAAGCTTCGGGCCGGCCCAGCATGGCTGTTGCAGTCATTTGGGGAGTGAGCCAGTGGAGTTTCTCTCTCTGTCTCTCCTTCTCTCTCTGTATCTGAATTTGAAGCAAAAGAGAAAATATATATATTATATATGCACATATACATTTAAAACCGGAGACTTGTGAAAGAAATAGGACAGTCTAAGAATTAAGAATTCCAACTATTAATTATCATTTTAATTGACCTTCAGAACACTAGCAAGGACAGTCACTAGAATTTAAGAAATGGGAAAACTAAGATGTAAAAACAGAGCCATAAGTAAAAACCAAAACAGGACCAAATTTTTCACATCATCAAAAAGGATAAATGCAGGGCAGCCACAGGTCTACTCATTCAAAGTACATCCTAAACACATGGCTTTCTGTTTAAATTGGCTCCATCTGACACCGTGGCACAGCGGGTAAAGCTGCCACCTGTGGCACTGGCATCACACTGGGGCACTGGTTCCAGTCCCAGATGCTCCAATTCCTATCCTGCTCCCTGCTAACGTACTTGGAAAAGCAGTGGAAGATGGCCAGGGTGCTTGGGCCTCTGCTCCCACATGGGAGGTCAGATGAAGCTCTTGGCTCCTAGTTTTTGGTCAGCACAGCTTGGGTCACTGTGGCCATTTATGGAGTGAATGAACGGGCTGAAGACCTCTTCGTCCCCTCTAACCTGTCTCTCAAATAAACGATTACATCTTCAAAAAGAAAAATTGGGCCCACAGTACAATTGAAGACAAAATTTGAAAATTTAAGATGTGAAAAGAAATTCAACTGCATATAACGTTTTAGCTCTAAAATCAAGTATAATTCAGAATGAAGTGAACTTAGGAATATATGCAGATTTCTCCTTATCGGCAAATTAGCTTACCATATTCTTACTTTAGTTTAGTTCCTGATCCATGTTATCCCCTACCATGTGTTCTTCTTTCTCATTTAACTCCTCTTTTTAACTATATGCCAATATTATTTTAATTTATATAGCCTTTTGTACTGCATCTTAAACATTTTTGAAAAACAGGATGGGGTTGAAATAACAAATGAAAATAAGCCTGATTTACTGCTACTCACCTGAAGAGATCCCTCTGGATAATTAAGCAGCGCAGGTAGTCAGCCATCTTTTTCTGCATGAGGGCTAACCGCAGCCATGCTCTTGCACGACCCAGTGGGGTCCTAGAAACAAACAACTGCTCAGAACGACAGCTCTGGCCCAGAGAACACACACTGCATGCTCTGCTGCTGCTGGGCTCCACGTTCACAAAGACACGTGTTCTCTTAGGGTTCTGTTTCCAATTTTATAATTTTAAAGTAATTTTTCAAGCATGTAAACAAATTCCTGGGAGGTAGTACAAATTTGTGATTTAAAGATTTCTTCAGGGGCCAGCATCATTGTAGTGTAGCAAGTAAGCTGCCGCTGGCTGTGACACCAACACTGGCACTCCACATGGCATCACTGTCCTGGGTGCTCCACTTCTGGTCCAGGTCCCTGCTAACAACCTGGGCAAGGCAGTGGAGGATGGCCCAAGTCCTTGTCCCTATACCCATGGGAGACCCGGATTAATCTCCTGCTGCCTCCCTGCTGTAGCCATTTGGGGGTGTGTGTACCAGCAAATGGAATCCCTCCCTCTCTGTATCTGGATTTCAAATAAATAAACACATCTTTTAAAAAAAAATGTTCGCCTTTCAATTTGAAATCCAGACTGACAGAGGTGGGAGAGGAAAAATGAGAGGGTGGAGAGACAAGAGAAGTATCTTCCATCTATTGGTTCACCCTCAAACTGCAGTAAGAGTCAGGGCTGGGGCAGGTAGACAGGAAATCCAGCAGTCAGGATATCCACCAGGCCCCTAATGCAAATTTTTACAAAAATTATTTAGGGGCTGGCAGTGTGGCACATGAATACACACACACAACGCATGCATGCACTCACACAGAGGTACAGGAACCCATGCTCTTTGGGCGTCTTCTGCTTCTCCCAGGCCATTAGCAGGGAGTTGAACTACTAATGGAACAGCCAGGATACAAAGCAGTGCCCATATAGGATGCTGGTATCACAAATGGCGCCTTAACCTGCTACTCCACTAGGCCAGCTCCCAAAAAGTGTCTCATTATAAACAGCAGTCATTTATCACTCACAGAAGTTCAACTTATATCTGAATACTGCAATAACAGCAAGAAAACACTATCTTATTCCCTATAAAATATAGAACTCTAAAGTGTAAAGCTATCTAAGAGAAAGCAAAATTACCTATCAGAAATTGCTAAGCATAAAATCAAGTCATTCACAAGAATGAAGATAATCTAATGGTAGCACTTACATTTTAACTACACCCCAAATAAGCTGGCCTTAACACTTTATGCACACAAAGCAATTTCAATATTCATGAGTTCTTAACTATAATACTCAAGTTTTTAGGACATTACACATATATTTGTTGGATAAAACAAACAGGAGATGTGATGGTCCCAATTTTTAGACACACAAAAATAACATGCCTGAGTTCCATGATCCATAAATGACTTATCTAAGAACTGCCATCCCCTGGGTCTGTGCCCTGAACCGAGCCCAGTTCAATCTTCAGCATGTGTTATTCCTACCCAAGGGGCCAACTGGCTCTGCACTTCAAAAACACAGGTGTTTAATTGTTACACTCTATCTAAAAGAGACATGTAATTGCCTACAATACAGGGCAGAACTGAAGTGAGTGATAAAGTAGGAAATATTATGATAAGAGCCTTAAAAAAAAAAAGCAGTTACTTATTATTCAAGGGGTCAAGAGACACTTCATAAAGGAAATAGAACCGGAGCTGAACCATAACGAACGCACAGAATTTTATCAACAGAAGAGAGGAGGGGGCATGCTACTGAGAGATGGGGAGCAAGAATGACGCGTGAGCACAGCAGCTCTCCCGCCCGGGGTCAGAGGTACGCCGGCGCTCGGGGTCAGGGGCGCGCCGGCGCCCGGGGTCAGGGGTACGCCGGCGCCCGGGGTCAGGGGTACGCCGGCGCCCGGGGTCAGGGGTACGCCGGCGCCCGGGGTCAGGGGTGCGCCGGCGCCCGGGGTCAGGGGTGCGCCGGCGCCCGGGGTCAGGGGTACGCAGGAACAGACTTGCTTACTTCAGGCCAGGTAGATCCCGAACACTGGCTCCTATTTCTTCGGCCTCTGGATATAGCTTCTCCACTAGCTCCAAAGGGCCCCAGATGGTTTTGTTATAACTCAAAAATGATTTTCTTACTGAAAAAAAAAGTATAGAAAATACAATGCACACAATGTCAAACTGTAGTGACTTCTTAAATATCTAGTTTCAACATGTTTCGTCCAGCATCCAATTAGAGATCTTTCTTTTAATCACTGTGCAGCCCCATCATGAGCCCGATACCCATCCTACCAGGGTTTTTTTTTCTCCTACATCAGAAATATATCTGGAAGAAAACAAAAAGAAAACAAAAAAAAGAAATATATCTGGATCACTCCTTTTTTTTAAGATTTATTTTATTTTATTGGGAAGGCAGATACACAGAGAGGAGGAGAAACAGAGAGGAAGATCTTCCAGCCACTGATTCACTTCCCAAGTGGCCACCACAGCTAGAGCTAACCAATCTAAAGCCAGGGGCCAAGAGCCTCCTCCAAGTCTCCTACACAGGTGCAGGGTCCCAAGGCCTTGGGCTATCCTCTACTGCCCTCCCAGGCAACAAGCAGGAAGTTGGATGGGAACCAGCACCGCTGGAACACGAAACTGGTACCCATATGGGATCCTGGTGCATGCAAGGTAAGGACGTAAGCAACTAGGCTACCACATTAGGCCCTGGGCCCTAAATCTTAAAATTTTTACAAATACCTCTATAATTGTCCCAAAACATCAAAACCAGTTCAGTGTATGTATGATAAAACAACAATCAAATATGGTTTCCATAAAATGTTAACAACTAATCATTTTCTAAAGACTACCTATCAGAAAACAAAGTAGTAAGATGTTTTTTCCCCAAATAACCTACTCAGTATTTTAAAATTTCATATAACAGTAATTATGACCAAAAAAAACCCCAAATTCTACATTTTCAAGGCTATTTAAGGTGAAAAGGGTAAGGGCCAGCATTGAGGCATAATAGACTAAGCATCTGCCTGTGATGCCGGCATCCCATGTGAGTACTGATTTGTGCCCCAGCTATATCAGATCCAGCTTCCTGCTTGTGGACTGGGAAAGATGGCAGGGTGGAGGGCTCTGCGATCACTGTTTTTGCTCGGTCTGGAGGTACCTTTAAGCCCGTGTTTCAGGCAGTGTTCCATAACAACGAAGAACTGCTGCAGGGGCGGGTAGTCAGAATCCAGAGTGCGGCCGAAGCTCAGGGCAGATTCAATGAGGCCTTTGATGCTCAGCTTAGCCATGTTCAACAAGTTGGCTCTCTCCACAGCTGTGGGGTCTCTCGTAGCTGAAAACACAAGAAGGCAGTCCAACAGCATCGGCAAGGCAACGAGAAACAGCCTAACGCCCCCTTCCCCAGTGAAACCGACAGCGGCTTGCTTCTTCTGGAGGCTGTGGGACCTGAACAGTTTGAATAAAAACACACTCCTAGATAACTTTTCTTCATGATTCTCTCACACATATCGGAGAAAGACTACCCTGCCCGCAGCACCAAGGTTTCCAAGTGATGCTTGAGCCCTGCAAATTTGTACTGTCCTGTGTTTTCATTCCACAAAGACTGAAAAATAATTTTCTTTGGAGGTCACAGACAACAGGTCAAAGGGTCTCGTGTGAAAGCTGCATAGCAGGCACTATCTGAAGAATTTCAACTAACAGTAAAAAGCACTTACAATTCTAAGATTCTTATATCAACCCATCACAAACAAAATAGGTAAGATACACCAGGAAATCCAGAAAAATAGAAGTGACTCCATTTTCCAGTTTAATTGTCTTGCTTTGTCATTCTCACTGTAACTCTGCATAACATGATTTTTTTTAAGACTTATCTATTTTTATTTGATAGTCTGAGGTGCAGAGAGGAGAGACAGAAAGATCTTAAATTCTCTGTGTCACACCCCAAATGGCTGTAACAACCGCAGCTGAGCAGAGCTGCCCCCAGGAAATTCTTCTGAGTCTCTCTCATGGATGCAGGGTCCCAAACTCTTGGGCCATCCTTTTCTGCTTTCCCAGGCCACAGGCAGGGAGCTGGATGCGAAGTGGAACAGCCAGGACTTGAACCAGAACTCATATGGGATGCGGGCACTTGAAGGTGGAGGATTAGCCTGTGGAGCCACAGCACTAGCTACCTGTATTACATGACATCTAAAGTGCTCTGCTTTTCCACACAGTGTGCTACCAAGTTAACAGAAGCACTTCAAGAAAAACCCTTATTTTTGATTACTATTGTCAGTTTATGAAAATACTTTCTTTCCAACAAATTTTATTCTCAGGTTACTTAGACATTCAGATGCTGCCTGGCAAGCATTACCAGATGACAGCGGAAAGCGATGACAAAACTGAGTGAGGGCAGGCACTGTGGCGTAGTGGAGTAAGCCACAGTTCTCATCCAGCTTCCTGCTAAAGCATGCTAGAAGGCAGATTTTGACCCAAGTGCTTGAGTCTCTGCCACCAACATGGAAGACCCTGCAGGAGTTCTGGGCTCTCGGCTCTTGCAGGCATTTGGGGAATAAACAAGCAGATACAAGATCTTTCTCCAAGCAGAGGAAAATAAACACTAGAGAAGATTAAAAATAAAACCTGAGATGCAGAAAGCACCAAGTATAACATCGCATAATCTCTTGACAAATTCACAGATCCAACTAGGCAAGGTTTCCATATCTCTCCCCTCTGCCCCTGCCACCGGACACAAACCCCAGAGTTTACAAGGATTTAGTACTCTAATTCTGAATTCAGTCGGGCGTGAAATCGGCCACAGAATCCTGGGCAGAGCGTGGCTGCACCTGTGAGGACCCAGCAGGCGGTGGGAAATGTCGCTACCCACTACGGTGCTATGGCTCCCCCTTTATTCTAGGGAGCGAAGCGACCTGATGTCTCATGATTCATGGCCATTGTCATTTTTCTGATCAGTGTCCATCAGCACAGCAAAGCGCCACGCGACCGCTATACAAAGGGCGGCTTTGCGGCTTGCTGGAAAGTAGCCGCAGCAGGGCACCCGCCGAGGGGCCACGCCCCAGCCGGGCCGCAGGTGCGCCCAGACGCCGCAAAGGACCAGGCAAGCCCGGGGCTGCAGCCCCCGGTCTTCCTGCCCCTACCCCAAGGCCACCCAAAGGCCTGCAGCCTCCCCCACGACCCTACGGCAGGCTCACCCAGCGTCCTGCACGGCATCGCTCCCCCTCTGCCGCCCTCGGCGTCGGCAGCCCAGGCTGAGGCCTGAGCTGCGTCTTCCCTCCGCCACCCCCAAACCTGGAAAGTCATGGCTTGTCTTCGAGTGTTCTTCCACCCGGAGACGCCCAGGCCGGCCCACTCCCACGAAGCCGGCGGACCCCAAGTCCTCAGCCACTGGGCCCCAGGGTGGAGGCGGGGACGGGAAGGAAAACGAGGGGGGTGCGTTGCCATGGCGACCCTGGGAGCCCCCGAGTCCCGGGCTGCCCCCGCCCACCCCAGATTCGGGCCCCGACGAGGAGTTGGCGGCCTCAGTGCTCGGCTTCCCAGCTACCCCTTAGACCAGGCGCTCTGCAGCCCGGGACGTAGGGCCGGGGTTCCGTCCCTGGCCCGCTCCCCTTACCCATGGCAGCGTCGCGGTCGCGGGCAGGGCCTCCCCGGGCCTGGCCAGCAGCTCCCCGCAGGCGCTGGGCGGCCACCACCGCATCTGCAGGGGTCCCTGTGCGGCCCACAGCGCCCCCGGCGGCGGGAGGACATCGTGCGGCTGCGGAGGGCCGCGGCGCCCGGGTGGGGCTGGGGCCGGTGGAGGGTGCAGCAGGCGCGGGGTGGGACCTGCTCAGGCCGCCCGGAGAAGCCAGGAACGTGAGGCTCGCCTCTGTGTGAGGACCCGGAGCTGGAGCCTGGGTCCTGCAGACCATCAGTGGGTCGCCCAGGGCCTTTCGCCAGTCGCGGGGGCTGGACTTGCCAGGTAGCTGGAGTCACTGTAAACGCTGCATCATCCAAGGTTTGTGGCGAGCTCGGCACAGCTGACCTCCTTCCTTGCCCCTTCACGAGCTCCCGGAGGACCCAAAAGGATTTAGAAACTGCAAAGCAGCTAACAGTGGCAGAAATGTGCCGAAACTGTGTAGACAGCCCCAGATCACGGTGGTTAAGTCCACCGGGAGCTGCAGGTTCCTGAGGGGCTACAGGTGAAACTAGTGTTTCCTGTCTCAGGCAGGCAGAAGTTTAAAAAAGCTTCAAGGTTAGGAGACACACCAGGCTGTTGTATCAGCTTGGGAATACCTGGTTACACCTGCAGCTGCGGAATGCTGGTGAGCTAGAAAATAGATCCATGTATTTCCTGTAATTGTCCAGCCTCACTCTGACCAGTATAAAATTGTTTATTTTTTAAAAACATCTTTGCGTTTTCGGGACTGGTGTAGTGGCTTAACTGGCTAATCCTCCACCTGCGAGAACCAGTATCCTATATGGAACCCAGTATGTGTCCCGGCTGCCCCACTTCCCATCCAGCTCCCTGCTGTGGCTTGGGAAAACAGCCTGGCCCAAAGCCTTGGGAACCTGCATCCACGTGGGAGGCATGGAAGAACCTCCTAGCCGTAGGATTCAGATCAGCTTAGCTCCATTGTGGCTATTTGGGGAGTTAGCCAAAGATCTTTCTCTGTCTCTTCTTCTTGCTCTAAAATCTGCCTTTCCAAATAAAATAAATCTTAAAAAAAAAAACAAAAAAACAAAAAAAAACCCTCTGGGCTTTAAATCCCCTTCATTATGACATAATGAATAAAAATATGTAAAATGGGCTTGGATTGTGGTTTAGCAAATTAAGCTGCTGTGTGGGATGCTGATAGTCCATAGGAGGTGCCCTTTCAGCTCGTCTTCAACCTGCCTCAGCCCCAACCATTAGAGCCATCTGGGGAGTAAACCAGTGGTTGGAAAGGTTCTCTTCCCCGTTACTCTTTTTTAAAAAAAATTGAAAGAATACAAAAACTCAGAAAACATAACAAATGGGAAAAGAAATGCAGAGAATGGCAAAAAAGTATGGTTTAGGGAGCATAAAAGGCCTGGCAGTTAAAAATTGTTTGAGGGCCTGGTGCAATAGCCTAGTGGTGAACTCTTCACCTTGCTTGTGCCTGGATCCCACATGGATACTGGTTGCTTTCCCAGCTGCTCCACTTTCTAACCAGTTCCCTGCTTGTGGCCTGGGAACACAATGGAAAATGGCCTAGCGCCTTGGGACCCTGCACCAAAGTGTGGGTGACTGGGAAGAAGTTCCTGGCTCCTGGTTTTGGATCAGCTCAGCTCTTGGGGAGTGAACCAGCAGACAGAAGATCTTCCCTTGTCTCTCCTCTATGTAAATCTTGACTTTCCAATGAAAATAAATCTTAAAAACTGCTTGAAACACAGTAATACAGTGAAAGATCCTCCAACACGGGTGGCTAACTCCCCACAGCCAGGACCTGGGCTCAGCCCCTTGCTTTGGCTCTTGCCTCACTTCCTGCCTCAGACTCTGGAAATCAGCAGTGATGTTTCGAGTAGCTGGGTTCCTGCCATACACATGGTGACCTGGATTCCTCCCCAACTCCAGGCTTTGGTCCAACAGCTGAAAGCTCTTTCCATTTTTCTGCCGTTATCTTACTCTCCAAAAAAAAGTTTATATGGTTATAATACTATACAAGTCAGAATTAAAGAATATCTATTACAGCCATGGGCTCAAACCTATTAGTGGGCTGTGAAAGCAATTTTAATAGGTTGCAATCAGTTTTAATTTTTAAGACTTGTTTTTATTGGAAACGCAGATTTTTACAGAGAAAAGAGACACAAAGATTTCCAGTCACTGGCTTACTCCTCAAATAGCTGCAACATTCAGAATTGAGTCAATCCAAAGCCAGGAAGCAGAAGCCTCTTCTGAGTCTCCCACATAAGTGAAGGTCCCAAGACTTTGTAACCATCCTGTACTGCTCTCCCATGCCACAAGCAGGGAGGTGGATAGGAAGTGAAGCAGTCAGGACACATATGGACACAGTCGATGCTCATATGGGATGCCAGTGTTTGCAGGCTGAAGATAAGCCAACTGAACCATTGCACAATCTCCGCAGAAACTGATTTTTAATGGACTAGACTAGGGAATATCAGGATGTATCACATCTAGAAGATTTATAGAAGTGTTGCTTCAGGTACACACATGCACATACTGAGTCATGATGTAAGATACCTCCTATGGCAGTCATTTGGCCCAGCAGTTAAAAGGCAGGTTAGTATATCCATATCCCACATTAAAGTACCTGGATCCACCTCTTGAATCCAATTTCTTAGTATTGCAGATCTTGAAGGCAGGAGTGATGGCTCAAGTAGAAAGTCTCTCGGCATTAAAGAATTGGAATGGGTTCTTGCTCCCAGCTTTGGCCTGGCAGAGCCCCAACCATCACAGATGTTTGAAGAGAATGAACTAGCAGATTTGAAATCTTTTTCTCAAATGTTATACGTTGGGGTTTGGCATGTTACAACTTGCAGATCCTCCACCTCCATGTACTGACATCCCCTCTGGGCATCAGTTTATATCCTGCCACTCCAGTTCCCATCTAGCTCCCTGTTTATGGCTGGAAAAGCAGTAGAGGATGGCCCAAAGCCTTGGAATCCTGCATCTAAGGAGGAGACCCGGAAGAAGCTCTTGGCTCCTGATTGGTTCAGCTCTGGCCTTTGTGGCCAATTGGAGACTAACCCAGCAGATGGAAGATCTTTCTCTGTCTTGCGTTCTTTTAAAGCTGCCTTTCTAATGGAAATAAATGAATCATATATATACATATATATATTTCTTGGTGTAGGAATTGTGGCAGGGTAGGTGAACCTGCTGCTTGGGATCCCACATTCTATATTGGGAGATTTGGGATCATGTTTGTGATCCAGCTCCCTCCTCATGTGCCTGGCAGACAACAGATGATGGCCAAAGTACTCAGGTCCCCGTTACCCAAGTGGGAGACCCAGATGGAGTTCCTGGTTGTACCTTGTCCGGGCCTGGCTACTGTGGACATCTGGGAAGTGAATCAACAGATGGAAGATCTCTGTCACTCTTTCAAACAAAAAAATCTTAAGAAATGTCATTTCTTAATGTGAAATGAATTTCACTGTTCAAAATTTTCACAAAAATCATGTACTTCTCTGCAATTAGAATGAAAAAATGTTTTAAAGAAAGCAAAATCATGCCAAGCCTTTTAAGACCAGAGAGCTGTGAGAAAAACGGTGCCATTTACAGAAATAGAGATCACAAGAGTAAGGCATTGGATGAAAACAGAAATCTCTATTTTCTATGCAATGAACTAGAAGGCAGTTATATAACCACAGCCTGGAAGACAGGGTGGATACAGGCTTGGCAAAGAGCCACCCAGGTGAAGGCTGCAGCCAGTGACTCTCCAGGGACAAAGAAGGGGACCACACTGGACACAGAGCTCCAGGGAGCACTTGCCTTTGAGAGCACGATGAGAAAAGCAATTGAGTGGGAGCAGGGAAGGCTCAGGAGGCACAAAATGAAGTATGGAGGAAGCCACAGAACGGCTGTGTTGCATCCCCACCCTGGCTTCACCCATTCATGAGGAACACCTCCTCTAGGTGAATGGTGACACTGATCTGAGTGCACACAGTGGGATCCCCCAAAATGACAGTGGTTGGTGGCCACTGCGGTCCTTGGTCCTTAGCATGGATGATACACCTGCGCTGCACTGGGGCCCCTAGAGGGCCTGCTCTGGGTTTAACCTTCCACTCTGAGCGTCTGGCCACAGCAAGTAAATGCTAAATTCTCAGATGATGAAAAGGCTAGGATGCTGTGACTAAAGCATCCAAAATGACAGGAAGCTGCAGCTGCTCCCCCTGGTCTTCATGGGACTTTCAGGTCCTGTAAGGAAGCTGTTCCTGACTAAACCCAAAGAATCATGTTGCTCATCTCACTCCCAGGATCTGAGATCAGTTGAGCTTTCTCCCTGAATCACAGCACATGAGTGATATCTAACCAGTCCTTAAGCTCCATCACAGCAACTATGATCTGTTACCTCTACATGATCAAACCCATCCTGTGCCTCCCTCACAGCTCTCTTTATAGAGCCCATCAACGTGGCACAGCGGGTTAAGTGTCTGAAAAGGAATGCAGATTCCAATTGCAGCTGTTCCACTCCCCAGATGCTGATAATGTGCCTGGCAAGGCAGCAAAAATGGTCCAAGTGCTTAGGCCCTTGCCACTCACGTGGGAGAACTAGAGGGAGTCCCAGGCTCCTGGCTTCAGCCTGGCCAGCTCCAACTGTTGCAGCTATTTGGGGATGGAACCAACAGACAGATTCTCTGTCACTCTCAATAACTCTGCCTTTCAAATAAATAAATACACCTTAAAAAATAAATACCTTCTTATAGGATCAGCACTCTTCGGTTCAGCTATATAAGGCAGGACCAATACCTCACCTACCACAAATAAAAAGATGTCAAACAACCCTAAAAGTAATCATTATTAATTAGTAACAATGAATTGACTGGGTAAAATCAGTAGAAAAAATTTATTAACTAACAACTTAACTTTAAAAAAAAAAGAGGTAGAAGCAAGTATTTTAACACAACAACAACAAAAAAGCCCTCAAAGAGAGGGACTGCTTTCCCACCAGGAAATGGATACACTGAGGTAAACTCCCTTACCACACACAATGCATCACTTTGAAATAGCTGTTTTGTACCATCAGAACAATTGAGAAAGGTTCCAACTAGGGAATAAGTCAATGTGAAGGAGTGAAAACAGGGCTATGCCTTTTCAATTTATCAATTTAGGAAAGGATTCTGTTCAAAGACAATTATGAATTATGTTCTTTCATATAAAAATCTACCCCCAGAATTCTGATCATTGAAAATAAAAAAGGAGGATAGCACAGGGAAATACAAAATGAACTGGAAGCAATCAATTCACAATTATAATTTAGAACACCAGGTTTAAGGCAAAAACTTATCTAATACCATAAAGCAAAGTCAGGGGGGAAAAAACTGGCAAAATAGCCTTTGGACCAAGGACCTCAAATAACAGAGGGGTCGCTTGTACAATTTCATAACAGATTGTGTTTAGATTGTAAAGACAAATCAACTTTATATCACCTTTCAAATAAAATTTCACAAACATTTGACAAAATTAGTGATAAAATTTTAAAGCTTATAAAGTTCAGATTCAAAGTAAATCCATCTTGAAAGGGGTTAAAATTTTAAATATTTCTTTAGATAATGTACAAATTCATTTATAGAACTGATGAATTCAGACTTTATATAGCCTGGGGTAAACCTATTCTACAAAAACACTGTTAAATAGGTTTGGCAGTAGGATTTCCAGGTTTAGTAAGATTCTTCCAGAAAAATAAATAAATAAGCTACTAAAACACTGAACACAGTGCATTTCCCTCATTTTGTACCCTTTGGGTACGTGTTATTTTCACAGTTTAACTAGGCCTTGCTTTCACCTCACACTCAGATTTCAAATACCAGGCCTAGCTAGTGTGACAATCCTTTCCTAAGAAAACAGTTCTTTATCCTCTTTGAATATCACCCAGGACGTAGCAAAGACTTTCATCCTCTCTTGATGGAAGGTCCATGATGTAAAAGAAATTAAGGAAGATACATTAAAACTCTTATGACATTATTATTTAACATTTTGTAATTTGGCTTGTATCAGAGCAAAAAAAGGGGGAGGGGTAAAGATCTTTATAGCATTCTACACATAAGTTAGGTACTTAAAATCATCTACCAAAAAATTAACCTGCTATATTATAAGGGACAATTTTTCACTTTTTAATACAATGGGTTTGTCCTAGATTTTTCAAAAAACTAAATTTGGGGTGGGGGGCCAGAATGGCTGTGCAAGCATCCCACCAGAGCTGGTCCCAGGACCAGGCATCCAGTGCCTCTTTTCCTCCCCCGTTTTATGAACATTCTTCTCTGTCCACTTCCTGCTTGAACTGTTGGCCTAACATTATCTGCAGTGAATTGTTTTCTATTTCCTTCGGACAGTCAGCTCTCTGAAACAGACCCATGGAAAACATACAGAGCTTTCATGCACACAAGCACATTTTAAATGCTCACTGTAGCAAAATCAAATGTGCTCATGACTAAAAGGATATGAGTTTTTCCGAGTTTAGATGACAAAGCAGCTTCTCCAAGGGAGGGTAGCGGTTGAGTGAAGGCACACAGCCCACCAGAATCAACTTGTGCTTGGCTCTGGTTATAGCAACGTTAAGACGGCGCCAGTCTTTCAAGAGCTCACCAAGCTGTAAGGGAATAACATTTTCAGTTATTTCAAACTTCTTATTATATTTTCTTTTGTCCTGAAAAAGAACATAATTGTCTTGAATTATTTTCCTACTTTGTTAAAAAAAAAAAATTGTTTTTATTATACTGGGAGATTTACAGAAAGAAGATGAGAGAAAGATCTTCCATCTACTGATTCACTCTCCAAGTAGTTGCAACAGCCAAAGTTGGGACGATCCGAAGCCAGGAAGGGCCCAAAGCTTTGGGCTGTCCTCGAGTGCTTTCCCAGGCCACAAACAGGGAGTTGGATGGGAAATGGAGCAGCCGGGACATGAACGGGTACCCACATTGGATCCCTGAGCTTGGACATGGAGGATTAACCAATTGAACCATCACGCTAGGCCCTATTTTCTTTCTTTCAGATACAAATTCCCAGAAAGATTCATAAACACATTGCAAATGCTAGGCAGTTGGAAACCCTTGTGCACAGTATTAATGTAATGCATTTTTATGTTGTGATACCCTATAGTCATGACTTTAAATCAATAATTACATATGCTAAAAATAAATGACTGATGTCATCTCCACTCACTGTAGCCCCAGCTGTAATAGTAGTAAAAAGCCGTAACACTGAAAGATTTAGGGAATGGTTGAGTATATTGTGACACATTTATCCAATGGACAACAGCACAACCGTCACAACAGAATGAAACTGGTTTCTGTGTACAAACCCACTTGGCAAGATGGCCAAGCCAATTAAGTGGAACCAGCAAAGCTCACAATCCTGTGTATATTATCTCGGTTACCAGAAATCCCAATATATGAATATATATAAGAACTGAGAAGGTGAGAGATACAAATGAAAAAACAAAGACCTAGAATTATTCAGACTTGAAAAGGAAGCAGGAAAAAATGATCAGCATCACTAATCATCAGAGAAATGCACACAGGAGTCACAATGAGAAATTCGCACACTCTAATTGTATGAGCTACCATCAAGACAGAAAGTGCTGGTGAGGAAAGGAGGAAGCCCTTGCACGGCACTGCTGGGAACACAGATTAGTACAGCCATCGAGAAAAAGAGGGTGCAGGTCCCTCAAGAGCTAGTACAACCACTGTGTGACCCAGGAAGCCCACTCCTGCGTATATTTCCAAGGGAAATAAAATTAATCTGTCCAAGAGACATTTTCACTCCTGTGTTTACTTTAGTACTATTCATAACAGCCAAGAAATGAAACAACCTAAGTGTCTGTCAACTGATAAATGGATAAAGAAAATGTGTCCAAGGCTGGCATTATAGCACAGCACATTAAGCCGCCACCTGCAACAATGACATCCCATATGATACCAGTTCAAGTCCCAGCTGCTTTACTTCCAATTCAGCCCCCTACTAATGTAACTGGGAAAGCAGTGGAAGATGACAAATCTTCCACTCGGGCTCCTGGACCCACATGGGGAGACTGTTTCCTCTCTTCACTCAGGAACAGACTTGGTTCTTCCAGCGTTCTGCAGAGTGAACCAGCATATGGGAGATCTCTACTACTCTGCCTCTCCCCATCTGTCACTCTTGCCTTTCAGAGAACATAAAATCTGAAAGCAAGCAAGCAAGCAAGGAAAGAGGGAGGGAAGAAAGAAGGAACAAAGGAGGAAGGGAGGGAAGGAAGAAAGGAAAGAAAGAAGGAAGTAAATGGCCTTTTATATAATACAATACTACGAAGCAGGAAAGCTGGTCATCTGTAGAAATCTGAATGGAACTAGAGGTCACCGTGTTAAGGGACATAAGCCAAGCACAGAAAACAAGTGCCACATAATCTCACTCATATGTAGAGTCTGAGAAGGTTATCTCACGGAAGTTGAGAGCATAACAGCCACCAGAGGCTGGGGAGAGCAGAGGGAGGCACTAAGATAAGATAGGAGTAAAAAGTTCTGGTGTTGCACAGTACAACAGAGTAACTGCGGACAATAACGTACTGCATATTTCTCTTTTAAAAAGCTAGCAGAAAGGTTTTTGAATGCTTTCACCATAAAGAAATGATAAATGTTTAAGACGATAGATATGTTTACTTTGGACACTATACAACGTACACATGTATTAAGGCATCAGATGGTATGCCATAAACATTTACAACTTCTATGTATCAACTGAAAATTCATTTTTTAAAAAAGAAATGTCACATGCTACAATATGGAAGTTGCTGGCTAAGTAAAACTAAGCCAGCCACACAAATAGTATACAATTCTACTACTATGAAGTACCTGAGTTGTCAAATCCAGAGACAAGAGAATGGTGGTTCTGGGGCAGAGGGAAGGAGGAAATGAGAGCTGGCTCTGTGTATAGAATCCCAGATTTGTAAAATGAAAAAGTCTTAGAGATCTCTGGATCAGCAATATAAATAAGCTGAACACTGGGATCATACACTTAAAAAGGATCGAGATGGTAGCTTTACTTTTTTAAACAACTTATAAAAAGAAAGAAATATCCCAATAAACTCACAGTTCCATCCTTATTACTTCTAACAAAAGACACAAGGACAATACTTTTGTCTCTTCCTTGGTATTTGTCTACTGTGTTTACTTCCACCATGCCAACTGAAGAATGTGCCAATAAATCACTGATGATCTTTAACTGCTGTCGGTACGGTGCAATGATACCAATATCAGAGGGATTACATCCGGCCTGAACAGAAAAGAACAAAATTTAAAGTAAAAAGTCCTGACTTTCAATTTTAGCATTACTAAATTTAATCAAATATTTATAGTATCATAAACATTAATATATGTTTTAACAGATGAAGCTATCTCAAGAAGTACACACAATTATTTAATTTGCTGAAAATCTATTGTCAATATCTATCCTCAGGTAGTGATTATCCTTTGATTGTTAGAGGATTCCAACAGTGTAAAAGCTTATATGCCACTACCATACAAAACTCACTCAGAATTAAAAAAAAAAATTCCACTCTCTGCTATCACTTAACATATTAAGTTTTCAATTACAAACCATAGTGCTTCAGAACAGTATAATTATAATTAGAATTATCTGATGTTACAAAGAGGTGTCCTAAATGGAAATCATATTAATGATTTATAAATTCTTAATTACCTTAATAAATGTTGATGTCAGGAAAACAACGAGTTTGGCTTCCGTTATATTGCTCACACCACATTTTTCAACTTGCTCTGGTGCTGGAACCTAGAAGAAAAATACACAGTTTGCTTGTAACACCAGGTCAAGAGTTAAGTGTACCGTGGAAGCAGGTGTTAGGGCAGGGTCAAGATGATGCTTACAATGCCAGCATCGAATATGAGACATCCTGCATTTGAGCTTCAGCCCCTCTGCTTCTACTCCAGCTTCCTACTAAGACACACTT